TCTAATGAATTAGTCAGGAATCACTTTTCCACAATCTTCTCGTTAAGTGGAAACTGCATTAATTCTTGGCTATCCGAAAATGTGGAGAGAGGCAGGTGATGAGCTGTTGAATTCACGGTCTGATATGCAGACATGATAATGACAGTACTACAACAGCTCTGATGAAGCCGGTAATATTAAGGGAATGAATTACTTTCTTGGATTACTGACCTTTGTTGTAAAAACTCTATTGCGACTAACGTTTAAAGCCTTTATAAGCATGACGTGTAAGCTTAATAATCCATGAAAACCATCCAGAAGCTAGATATTATTCCAGGGCCGCAAAAACAACGGAATTCTCAGCGACATGTCTGAAGTGCTGCGAAGTATTATAGAAGGTTATTGCTCAGTCGTTTTGTGAAATTCATTGAGCGCTTACATGGAATGCATCACATATATGGACCACAGTCAGGTTCGGAATAATCATAAAAAATTTCAACTTATTATTTACTGCCTACTCTTTTTAACGGCATGGTATTCACTGTGGAACGTAACTTCAACGACGCTGAGATAATTGCAAAACTCCGGACCGCAGTTGTATGCGGTGGGGAACGAACACGCGCTGTTGTCCTTACCAGGGAGCAGCGCACTTCACCACCACACCATCCGGGTCTTTCGTTTTGCCTGTCTCTCAGCTTGTTCTATCGATCTTTTGCCATCAGCAATCACCCGTCAGCGGGATTGATTGATTCGGGTTCGTTCCCCACCGCATACAACTGCGGTTCGGAGTTTTGCATATATCTCAGCATCGTTGAAATCATAAAAAAGTCGGTAATGGCAGATTTAGGTCAGAAACTTCGTTCCATCCGTCGGCGAGGTGATTTTCGGGTCGTTAAAAAGATCTTAAGACGTCCGCAATGCGATCGCTCGTTCGCCGGCACGCCGAAATGGAAATTTCTTCGCGATCTGAGAAGGTCATACTAATCATGAGTAGCATGAAAATTAACCTTTGTACCAGGATTTCTGAATAAAAATGCGGTGATACTAGCAATGAAACGTTCGGGCGAGTTTCAGCTCCTGCTGTAAAGTAGCCCTATTCTCACGTCATCCCTCGAATAGTAAAAAAAAAAGACGTAGTTTCAGACTTCCTAGAAGAATCATAATGCATTGTTTCTGGCTGTTCCACGCTTAACGAATAAACAATGAATCTCATTCTCGATATCGAATTATTAGGAACGACGCTACGTGTTGCGTTTCTAGGCAACGAATAAGTGACTGAAAGTTGAGCAGAAGTATCCATCTGGTTGGCTCGCATCTCGATTCAATGGATCGACACCATAATGGGAGTTCTTCTATATACATCAATTCCACTAAAATTCTTCAATCGGATGACTGGAAACTGCACAAGAAACAATTAAAAATGGGGTCTAGTAAATCAACTATTCATCAACTTCGGAAGAATCTCATTGGAACGTAAGGTTACCGAAATACACATCAGAACACTGTGAACCTTTCGGGAGATTATCGACAAAAACCCTAATATTGAAGAAACTAATGTGAAAAACCCGACAGTGATTTTCTGTTCTCTCTGACCACCGAATCCGCCATGAAGTTCTGCAAAACTCGATGCAGACTGGTGGAAGTACTTGCTGATGTCTGCTCAAATCCACTCCATGATTGGCGGTGGTGGAGATAATATTAGTGAAGTTTGTTGAAAATGGCTAAATAGGCATTAAGTTAATGGTATCCTAGGCCATTTAGTTAATGGTATTAATCTAGGCTCTCCACACCACTTTGTTTAACAGTTTCTCAATTGAACAAAACATCTGTTAAATAAAAGCTTACATTCGCCTCTCTACCAGGATTTGCAATAGAATTGACAACTCTTGGATGTGTATAGGTTTTTACTTACTTCCTATTATTTCTCCAGGGCAGGGTATTATGTAAAATATAACCACAATAATACTGGGATGTTTGCCGAACTGAGACACCAGACTAGATTAGAACCCCCGTCTGCCCCTTCCGAGTGTTCACGTGTTACGCATTGCAGCACTGAGGCTTTTGATCTGCCTTTCTCTCATTCAGTTTTAGATCTTAACGATGCCATCAGCAATTACCCGTCAACGGGAACGATCTGGGAAGAACAAACTGGCATTGAATCCAGTTAATGCAAAGCAGGAGCATCCGTGGTGCAGTGGGTAACATGTGAGCATATGAAAAGGTAACCGCGTGTTCGAATCTGGACGGGGGTCAAAGTTTTGCAGATATCTCTGCATCATTGTGGTTGCAATGGATGTGTGTCTGATTGTGACTGTGGTTTTGGAAGTGGTTCAGAGTCTGCGTAAATCAATTGGAGAGAAGTTGAATTTTCGTTTCACACTATAAAACAATTGATCACGAAAAAAGGACGGCAGAGAGTCACTGGAATTTGCAAAAAGAATCTATTTCATTGCTTCTATGAGCGGCAAATTCAAATGCTACTTGTTTAAGAAAAGGTGCTCTCCATCATTTTTTAGGATGATCTTAAACTGAATTAAGCACTCTGCTATGCTGTATCGTTTTTTTGCGGACTCGCTAAGCGCCAGTATTTTTTCCGACTAGTCAAAAACTTCCTGCATAGTATTTTGTCCGCAAATTTGCGTAGTTAAAATGATCACGGGTGGTTTACGGAACAAGTTCGCCTCCAGTGTGCTTACCAGAATTCGTTCTAGTTTTGATGTGATGGCATAAGACATAGACAGGAGGATTTTAAAGTGTAAAGTTTGGAAAACTTATGATTTAAATAAACAGTCGAGTATTCGAATGGAGGTCGGATATATCCGACACCTTCGTCTGCTTAGCTACGTTATCACTCTGTAAACGGAGTGCTTAATATTCAAAGTAAAAGATTTTTCTAAACTTCAACGTTCCTGAGAAATGAGTTTTTGAAACTGAGTTATCTTCTAAATAATGGTGTACTCAAAGCGCGATATTCAATGTGTTTCATGAAATGCCTAATTTCCAAATAAAACTTAACAGATGTGGAATCCATTGCCTAATTAGGTCTCTCAATCCTAGAAATTCTGCATTTCAACCTTAATTGCCAACTAAGAGTTACCCTATACTTGAAGTCACTGACATGATGGTAACAAATGATGGTAAGAAACAATAACAGCATCACTAGCGGGCAAGAAAGGGCCAGAGTTCCGTCACCAGCAAATAACCAGTAGAATAGAAATTGTACTAAGGCTGTGATGACCGCTCGCTATTGGGGAAGACGGGTGGGCCATTCAAGTGTTCAACTGAATGTACGAAGGAAAGAAGGAGCAATGTTGAGGAACGTCACCGTTTTGAGTAACTCGTCGTTACGAAGCACGAAATCTTCATTCGATCCGTAAGGGCTAACGATAGCTTGTGATGAAAGTATGGGGGATCTTAGCACGAGATGAGAACAGAAGACAACAGTTGTTCAAGCGACTGTCATAGCCACACACAAATCGGTCCAGTTCGGCGATGATGATGAGATAACAAGTGGAATGGGAAAAGTGCTGGGCTTGGAAAATATGTAATAATGGACCAGATGAGGTTTCAAACATTCCGAGATTATTGAATTATTTGATTACTACTATAAAGCATCCATTTTCTACATATGCCACTTTCAGCACTGTTATTAACTATTTTCGACAACACATGTTGCAAAACCAATGGTAACGACTAACTAGAGAATAAGTTGCGATTCTATTTGACAGCAATCCTTTCCAGTAACTCCGTAAAGCTATTTTTAATGGACTATTTCTTTTACAGTATGTTTTTCTCTGTAAAACCCACCTCCCAGCGGTTTATCCCCTCATCGTGGCTGGCAGGTGGTCCTGGGTGTCGAGCTGCGATGTACAGCGGGAGGATTTATTCTCGCAGCAGAGTCTCCTAAGTTGAGGAGTCCGGTTTCTCAATCAAGAAACCCAGTTAAGAGTAAATAAATACCAGGGTTCACCACCGCCCTGGTATCGAACTAGTAGCATGGCAAATTTTCCTTTGATTCACAAGGGCCGCGGCTGCTTGTGGTGGTAACGAACTGGGGTAGACATGGAACCACAATGGCTAAAGCAACAAATCTCCAGAGAGTGGGAATTATGCATGGACCCGCACAATCACTGAAGACGGACCGTCCAAGTATCCAAATAAGTATTTCATTTGCAAATCTAGCGAAATCTTTATACAAATATATATTCTATGGCAATTCGATCGTTTTTAGATACCAAACCGTAATATCGTTTACGGTTACAGACACATACACATAATCCGTTGTGTACCATTGCATAGAGAATAATACTGTAAAGATTCCGACCTTGATGTACCCCTTTCAGGATGCGCAATACATCGTAGTTATCGTAGTCGGTCGTGGGACCTCATCCCGAGTGCAACCAAGCCTCTCATTCCTTCACGGTCAACAAATTAGTAGAAGACTGGTCTGCAAAAGGTTCTCCGTGATCAACAAAGGCCGGTGACGATGAAAGTAGTGAAGACTTATAGCAAAACTTGGAACTTTAGCAAGCTCGCAAGACTTCAGAGCGAATCTCGTCGACCAGCATTGAACAATATGGACGAAGAAGATAAACATCAAGTACTATCTGAACTCATACATAAATCCAAAGACTTTGGACAAGAGAATGAGACAAGAACAGAACAAAACGGACAGAAAAGAGATCCAAGCAATATGTGAAGCCAAGGCGTATAAATGAAATAAATTAAAAAATAGGACAAATTGAAGGCATGTTAGCCTATGCAAGAATTTACAAAGGTCTACCGATGTGTGACGTCAATGTTTTCATTCTCCCAGACAAATCTACCTCCCATCAAGTTGCACACTGTTCAATTAGGGAAAGCTTAGCGTGGGAAACCGGAACGAGCTAACGGATTCAACGAGCTGGAGGGCACTTCTATCCACTAGACGTAGCTTAACCTATTTATGTACAAATTGAAGAAAAATATCAAATTCACCCAATTCTAACATACACAGAAATCACAGAAATCTAACGCCTTCATCACACATTGTAGTACGGGGACGCCGCTGACGTTTGCAGTTCGACTTGAGATATTTTGTAACGAACTTTCTTCAACCATTCCGAAATTGGCGGTGGTTTTAGTGATGGCTGATTTTCACATGAATCCAGTTTTATTCTGAAAGATCAAGCAGAAATAAAAGTTTTGTAGCTTCCTTGTATAATTCTTTCTACTTCTGTCAGCAAACACGAGGTGCTATTTTATTTCTTTATTTATACAAGCTGACGTTTCGGCGGATTTCGCCTTCTTCAGAGCCTGGAAAGGTCAAGTTGACAGCAATTTATTCGGCCAAACACCTCCATAACCAAACATAGAAAACACTAAACCAAGATTGCAATCACATTTAACGCAGAGTGATTTTGTTCGTATTTTTTGAGCAAACGCGAGGTGTTATTGTTCTTTGTTCACGAATGAGCTGACGTTTCGGCGAATTTCGCCTTCTTCAGAGCCGCTTTCTATGAGGCAGTTAACGCAGAGTCTTTGCACACTCACCGCTTTCTATGAGTCTTCCACTGAGTATGTCGTGTGAAGACCGACCGCACAGAATTCACATGGAAGCGCAATGTGCCCCTCCCATCAGAATAACAGGTTTATGTACTGTCCAATATCACGCGTGATAATGAAGCATTCCTCCTTGCGGTTCATTTTCGGATTTTTGGAATTAATCCAGATTACCTCTAGAGTTTCGCGCGCTTGTGTTCTCGATTCTTGCGCAAGGATCGTAACCTTTACTTCAAAATCTTCTCCGTTATGTCTCTGCGTCCTACGCGTGCCTAGTGGAGTATTTGGCCTAGATTGTCGACTAGGTGTTCTTTTATGCGAACGCAGAGTGGTCTACTCGTTTCGCCAACGTATTCGTCCCCGCACGCTTTACAAGAGATCAGATAGACTGTGTCCGAACTCATGTAATCACCGTCTCTACTGCTAGGGCATGTTATGCAAGTCCACATTGTGCAGCAGATACGGTCACACAGGCAGTTATGAACTAGGTGGCGTCTTAGATTACTCGGTGGTATTTCGATTATCGTTACCGAATTCTCTGGACTGGCCCTTCTTAAACAGCGTTTTATAGTTGTACTTACATCATTTGAGATTAAAGGTTAAATAAACGAGACCTTTCTATGGCTAGAGTTGTCGTTTGGGGGCCTAGGATTTCCCCTACACCTTTCCCGAGCTACAGTTTCGTAGGCATTAAAAATGGCTATTTGTCGCGCCAAGTTGAGTGACTCCTCTATCTGCTGTCTTCCTGTGCACACGCTGGTAGCTGTTCGATACATGTTTCTCACAAGAGCTCTTTTCATGTGAGAGGGGTGAGAGGTGAGGTAATGAACTAGGATGTTTTTACTACTTGGCTTTCGATACCACTTCGTAATGTAGCCGTTTTCTGACAGGCTAATTTGCACGTTCAGAAATGGAAGCCAGTGTTCTTTTGGTTTCTCTCGGGTGAATTTAATATACTATATATAACTATATTATACTATATATACACGTCTATACTGCCCTTCATTTCAAATGAAGTAAATGCAGCTATAAAACGGTGTTTAAGAAGGGCCAGTCTAGAGAATTCGGTAACGATATTCGAAATACCACCGAGTAATCTAAGACGGCAGCTAGTTCGTAGCCGCCTATACGACCGTCTATGTGCAACGCAAAACTGTATAATTTGCCTCAATGGTAGAGACGGTGATTGCATGAGTTCGGGTACAGTCTATCTGATCTCTTGTAAAGCGTGCGGGGACGAATACGGTGGCGAAACGGATAGACCATTCTGCGTACGTATAAAAGAACATCTAGTCGGCAAACGTAAACCAAATACTTCACTAGGCACGCATAGGACGCAGAGACATCACGGAGAAGATTTTGAAGTAAGAGTTAGGATCTTCGCGCAAGAATCGGGAACACAAGCGCGCGAAACTCTAGAGGTAATCTGGATTAATTCCAAAAACCCGGAAATGAACCGCGAGGAGGAATGCCTCATTATCACGCGTGATATTGGACAGTACATAAACCTGTTATTCTGATGGGAGGGGCACATTACGCTTCCATGTGAATTCTGTGCGGTCGGTCTTCACACGACATACTCAGTGGAAGACTCATAGAAAGCGGTGAGTGTGCAAAGACTCTGCGTTTGATTGAAATCTTGGTTTAGCGTCTTCTCTGTTTGGTTATGGAGGTGTTTAGCCGAATAGGTTGCTGTCAACTTGACCTTTCCAGGCTCTGAGGAAGGCGAAATCCGCCGAAACGTCAGCTTATACGTAAATAAATAAATAAAATAGCACCTTGTGTTTGCTGAACAGAAGCGGAAAGAATTATTCAATCAATGCCGAGGTTAATAGAAAGTCGGATTTGGGAGTTGCTTCGTTGTATTTTTGAAAAAGGTCATAAGAGCTGAGAAAAGTGAACCCCCATTCAATTTCCATGCCACATGTTAGTTTAATGCGATCTTAACGCTGAAGACCTCCATTCGATAGGAACAGGGGAAGCCTTACAGTACAGACGAGAACCGACTCAAGCGGGCGTTCGAACAAAAGCAAAATTTGGAAATTTTGACGGCTTCCTATCGGAAATGATCCCAAGTACTAAACTTGTGCGGGGCTAATACCACAATGCGACCTCTAAAGCTGTTAATAAATTCGACGTTCCCATTCCAAAACCCAGGTATGAGGTAACCTTACGCCATCGTAAAGGTTCGATAAGCCGGAAGTAATTACTTTATCGTCAAAATGAGTAAAAAATAGAAGTATCGCACCAAAAGTGTAGTGACTTTCGGCTCGCACATGTAGTTTTTGTGCGCCACGTGGATAAATGATGTTTAAAGGATCCCATTGGAGCTAGTTGATGATTAACGGAACATAGGTGATGGGTGACCATCCAGCACAGCTATTCATGGTGAAAATTCAACGCTGCATAGAAATTTAAGGCGTGTTGAGTTGCGCTGACTTGTCCATATATGGAATTTATTTGCTCCTAGACATAATTATAGATATTAAGAACACATGAAAAACAATATTACGTAGGACTTACCTTAGCTGATTTGGAACTTGGCTATGATATGAAGTAAGAATAGGAGCCCACATCGGATATAGCTGACATAACAAGGCTGAGTTCATTTGTTGTAGTGCTTGAATTGTGTTCAAAAAGTGAAGATTCACCATATCAGCTAACTGGAAATTGGAATATGGCTGGGATACAATGGCTTTTCAAGAACTGCTATAACGGAACTGACCACTTTTGAATGACTAAGAAGCTGTAGAATTGCTGGCGTAACTCTGGCCCAAAAGTCAAGAAGTTGGTCAAATGCGGTCGTTGAACTGAAACACCAAATGGTACTTCCAGTTTGTGGTTCTGGTGGCATCTGTCAGACTGTAGATGTGCTGACAAGGAAGGGAACTTGGATTTCAACCAACGTCACTTTTTCTCAATGTTTGAGTAAGTTATTTTTGCTTGGGCGACAAATTTTGAAGCCATGAAAACGTTTACCATCACCCGTCAATGGGATTGACCTGGGGAGCCCATATCGGTAATGAAACCAGTAAAGCTGAATCTGAGTCGAAATCACAATGTCAACACTTCATTTACTGCCTGTTGTAATTTTTCACGGCAGTTTTATGAAGTATTAGTCTACAATTATGCTTCTTCAGTCACGAAAGTTTGTGGACAAAACTTATCGCGTCTTATACTGTAAGTTCATGGAAATTGACTATTGCTTCTCCTGAACTTGTTGTCATCTTCCTGCTGTGACAAAGAGCAATTCTGTAAGAGTTTGCTCGAAGAAGCATAACTGTAGACTAATTCTTCACAAAAACTGCCGAGAAAGATTTTAATGGACAGTAAATGAAATATTAACACTGTGATTTCGGCTACAACTTCAGCCTAACTGGGTTCGTTACCGATTTAGGCTCTCAAGATCAATCCTGTTGACGGATGATTGCTGATGGGCACAGGTCAATTGAAAACTAGCTGAGAGACAGGAGAAACGAAAGACCCGTATGGTGTGGCGGTGAACGCGTTAGTCCCCGGAAACAGTAAAAGCATGTTCGTTCCCCACTGCAGACATCTGCTCTGTCCGGAGTTTTGCAAATACCTCAGCATCAATGTGGTTGTTTCACACATAATATCCTACCGCGGAAAATTATAATAGGCAGTAAATAAAATGTTAACACTGTTGTCACCGTTTGAATAATTAAGGTTAAGTTGTTCTTCTAAGTAGCGTCTTACTACAACATCATAAACTAAATTAATAACGACTTCACAGCTGTGTTTAACGTTGTGAAGCTTACGTAAACGATGTTTCCGATAAAGGAAGGATGAAAATCACAGAAAGTGCTACATGGCCCAAAACTGTATCATTACCCAATAGATTAATAAGGAAGAAAAAAAACTGCTTTCTGAAGGATTCTTCTCCGACGAAATTCCAAGCCGATAGTAGAGGAGATCCCAGAAGAATGAGAATACTTTAGGGATGATAAGGATGAAGAACTTCACCATGAACTCTTTGAATATACAATCAGTAGCTGTTTCACTGATTGAGTTTTGCAAGCAACATATTCAATCGCTAGATTGCATGGAATTATATAACCTGTCCCACTCCTCGTCTTAGACCATCGAGATATTGTTGACCACCAGCACATAATGATTACGTCGAATCCCTTCCCACCGCGCTTTAAAACGGTGAGGATACCAATAGAAATCTTTTAACGATCAGCGAAACGCAAGTGACATTTAGAGACTGTTTTTGCGTTAAAAATAAAATGAAGAATCCAGACCGCTTCCTTCTCTCCACATAGAGGTTAAAATTCAAATAGAAGGCCTGCCTAAGATTCCTACGATATTAAGGCTATTCAAATATTCCCTGAAAGACCTTTAAAACTCTTCAAATGCTCTCACCCAAATACTATCGACACCGTGCATAATTTCCGTAAGGTCATCCTCTCATCAATGAATCATCATCCTGAATCACATTATTGTTTGTTTATTTGAACACCACTATTACTATATGTTATGGCCCCCGATTCGATAAAAAGGGAAAGGAAATTTAGATAGAAAGGAAGCGAAATTGAGGAATATACTAACTACCATGATGTTCAGATATTTGCAAAACCGCGGAGCGCAGTATGCGGTGGAGATCGAACGAGGTACTACCCTTTCCGGGGGCTCACGCGTTCACCAGCACACCATGCGGGTCCTTCGTTTCCGCTGTCTCTCAGCTAGTTCTATCGAGCAACGCCATCAGCAGTCACCCGTCAACGGGATTGATCTGGGGAGCCCAAATAGACAATGAACCCAGCTGAGGCTGTAGTTAAAAATCACAATGTTGATTTTGTTCGTATTTTTTTTGAGCAAACGCGAGGTGTTATTGTTCTTTGTTCACGATTAAGCTGACGTTTCGGCGAATTTCGCCTTCTTCAGAGCCGCTTTCTATGAGGTCTCCACTAAGTATGTCACGTAGAGACCAACCGCACAGAAATCACGTGGAAGTATAATGTCAATGTTCACAATGTTGACTTTTTGTTTTCTGCCTACTACAATTTCCATGGCAGGGTATTATGCGAAATGCAACTACAATTATGTTAAGATATTTGCAAAACTCTCCGAACCACAGGTGTCTGCGGTGGGGAACGAACGCAATATTACCCTTTCGGGGGACTAATGTGTTCACCACCTTAGTTTCGTCTGTCTCTCAGCCAGTTTTTCTACATACTAACTACATAATGTTGTATTAAATATGCCTTACTGTTAAAGACTTACTGTCTATTGGTCCGCTAAGTCATCCTTAGATCTAACCCATCTAAGCGTGTTTTATTGCATGAAGACCAAAGGGCTTATCACAGAAAGCGTAAAAAGTAGTTCTAGAGAACTACCCCGGTCAGGTACCTTATGAAACGCGGCCGAAGACGCTTTACCAGCATTGAACCATTCCTTCGCTAACAAATCTGTTACGTCAAAAAAAGAGAAAAAAAGAGAGGAGTAAACATTATGGAAATAGTAGCACCTCACTAGCTGTCGTTGTACTAGTTACTCGTAGTGTTTAATGGATAGAACCATTGCACGAAGAGTCTATCGGCGGCCATTTCAAAAATGACGACAAACTATGTCCATCGTAGCAGAAAGGTGTTTTATAACAACTATTACTGATTTCCATGACCGATTTCTGTTAACCTCGGTAATGATAAATTAATTCTCGTTTTGTTTGATAAGCACACATGAGTTCCTTACTGGATAAATATTTTTTCAGAATAGCTGACATTTCGGCGAAATTCGTTTTCTTCAAAGCCTGGAAAGGTAAAGTTAACTAGACAACCAATAGTAATATCAAGTAGGTTTGCCACAGTTGAGAAGCTTAATTCAAGGCGAAGTATCACGTTTACAGTGTCCTCGTTCTTCATCGTCATAACTGAATGAAGAACAACGATAAAATGCTTGTGAACTGTTCTTCATAAACAGAACCTCAAATGATAACTGGTAATGGAGGAAGATTCTTTAAACAGCGCGTTTCATAAGGGATAAAGGATAAAACTCTCGACGTTAATCAATCGCTGAGAGATGCGCCCATGCATGCATTCGACCTCATTAAGCATCGTCGGAGGTGGTTGAATGCATATTTGGCCTTTACAGTAACTCTCGGTGGCCTATCGATGTATCAAGCCAGTGCTGCTATCCTTCCAGACAAGTCTTGTAGCAATTTGCCCACCCCGAAGAGTTGCAAGGCTTGGTGGGCCATTGGCGCAGGGATCGATTCCACGTGTGTGTCGCAGTGGCGCCTCCAACCACTGCGCCGTAGGCTCCCTAGCGCTTTTCACAAATCATTAAAAATATCCCTACGGCTTCCCTTTTTTGTAAGTTTAAATCACCACCCATTACTTCTAAATAACAGAAAAAGTTTTTGAAGTTGCTAACCTGAACACCGTCGCTCGCTCACAGTACACCGTCCATAGCTGACAAAGGTGAAATGCGTGAAACAATGCAGACATATGGACGACAGATTGCTGGAGAAAGCATATACCATTCTGATAATCAAACACAATATAATAATGACAACTATAGCAACTATTGCCAGAATAGTTACTATTCATTCATCATATCGTAGATCTGTGGCAACCATATTCGTGGCTTATAGCATCGCTTTGCGATCTTGCAGCATGCAAACGTTTTCACTTCGTTGAGAGTAACTTTGGTTGTTGTAAGCATCCTTTGTGAAACACACTCTTTTTATACAATCGGAACCTTTTGTGTGTTGCATCTGTCCCAAACCATCACGGGTACGGTAATACAAAGGGGCTCGAAGCTGTCCGGCAAACCGTCCTCAGTCATCTGATCACAGGAGAGCTGGAGACGCAAGCTGATGGGTGTTTTCGGTAAAGGTTCTGGACCTGTGCCAAAGCACCGCCTCCTCCAGAAGATATTTAAAGAGCCCTGTGCGTCAATACCGTATTCGCCACCCCCCTCATCATGTGTAATGCGCCTTGTAGTCAACCAAAGTGTTCTCTCTTGTTGTATGCGGTAACTGTTGTATATTAACATTGCTGTCATGTAGCTCTGTACCTATAGCAAAGATACTAACCCGCATTACCCTCATTTATTGATCATGATACAATATTGCCGTCTGTATTGTACCAATGTTTATATTTCGTTATTTTTGAATTATTATTGTTATAAACAGTTTAATTACCCAAGTTTGAGATATTACTCTGCGGCAAGTACGAAAAAGTCCCGCGTGGCAACTTCTACGAACTCGAGCATCCTACTCAAAGTTAGTGATCATAAGGTGCCGAGGACAGACTCGAAGACCTAATTTCCACTAACAACTGCTATAACAACAATCCTTTTGCTCAATGTACACTTTGTTCTCAAAGTATCTCCGATGTGAAAGACAATACATAATGCACACTTCCCACCCAAAGTAACGATGAATGTACTACAACGCCACCTTCTACTGTACCGATTTCGTTAACCACACTAATCAAGAGGACGAAAAGAGGATAAAAAAGTGACTTTTGGATCATAATAAGACCATCCCAAGTATGTCTTGCACCAATTTCCTCGAGGATGGGAATCTTGGTTAAGCCAGGGTAGGGTTGAACCATCGCTTTCTTAGTATTGAACGGCATTTATATGAATTCTATACGTCGTACCGATTTTAGAACAAACCTTGGACTGATCGGCGAATCCAGCCAGAACAAAGTGGATATAATCGGCCATTTGCTGGCTGCATTCAATAGGTACTGGTAGACATCCATGATTCGCATGGAGTGCGCCCAGTAATAACCATGACAGAACTCGCACGTTTGTCACCGAGTCGGCGAAGGCACCAGGAGCAGCCTGAAGTTTGTAACGCAAGAAGTCGATGTAGTCATTGAATCAGAACGATAACCTCATTATACCTAGAAATATGGAAACTCTTCTCTACTACATTTTTTAAACAGAGGCATTACTACATGCCTTTAAATTTATACTATTACAATTTGCACAATAATATTTTAGTGAATTCTTTTATAGAAATGGGTTTACTGCGGCGAATTCGAAAATTCAATGAATAACAGAGTTACTCTATAATAACCACGAGATACAAAACTATTCCTCCTAAAAGTTCCTTTACTTCTTATGGCAAAGCCAGCATTTGTACCAATATTTTACAATTGCAGATGGTAGAAAAATCTGTATAAATGAAGCTTGTAAGAGTTCCCAAGATCGACTTTCTATTAACCTTGTGCTTATTCTTATACTTACAAGACATGACGCATAGGATACAGAAGCATAGCGCAGACGGTTTTGATATAAAGATCGCTATCTTCGCAGAGGATCCTAAAACGCCAACGCGCAAACTCCTCGAAGTTTTTCGGATAAATGCCAAAAGTCATACAATGAACAGCAGGGAGGAATACCCCGAAACCACATAATTTCGCCCTGTACCTTCGTCCTGATGTGGGGAGTTGCAGTCATCAACCATATGCGACTCTGAGCGGCTGTTCTTCCTCGGTGGGGGACAGGTGAGAAAAGCGGTGGGTTTTTCGAAAAGCCGTTGTTCCCGTGAAATTTCGAGGAAACTCTAACGTTGAAAAATTCAGTCTTCGGCGTTGTCATACTTTTTATTCTAATAGTTACGAAAATCAGCTATTCAGATACAGCGGTCTGACGAGTCGAGCAGTACCTGAGTGACACTCGGTGGGCTCATTAACCACGGAATAAACCGGATTACGGTACGACAATCCCGAGCATTCGACCGGTTCATCTCTACTGCTATCGCCTCTGCCAATTTCACCTTCAAGTCACCGCCGACAGTGTCCGAATTTGTTTCTTTCTGAAAGTAATGTTGTGTTTTCTCCGATTTTCCACATGGTCTTACATTCCTCATTGTTCAAGAATGAAGGCGCCTGAAAACGCAACATTGCTTTTAAACACACATTAGTACTTTATTTACTACAATTTTTTCTACTTTCCCTTCGTCTAATTTAATCGAACCATTGTGTAAGGGTGCGTGTGGCTCAATGGTCGGAGGCGCCCTGCAACACACACGTGGAATCGATCCCCGTGCCCATGGCCCACCAAGCCTATCATCCATCCGAGGTCGGCAAATTGGTACCAGACTTGTCTGGGAGGATAGCAGCACTGGCTCGATACATCGGTGGGCCACCGCGAGTCTTGTACAGGCCAGATATACATTCAATCACCTCCAGCGATACTTAACGAAGTCGAATGCATGGCGCATTCCTCAGGGATCAACGGCGAGAGCTTTATCCTTTTTATTTTTTCTGTGTAATCATTAAATTTGAATTAATGTGAACTAGGACTTAATATTCAAACGTCATCTGAACATTTGTTACTGCTTGGAGATTTTGCAACGTAGGAGATGCTACGCGACTGTAAGTAACATGAATTCTTAAAATCTGAACTGAATGAATTATTAAAATCAGGGATGCCTTGTCCTTGTACTGTGTTCGAAAATACGGTATTCCGTCCAATTCTGTAAGACTAAACGGTTACTGGTTCCTACACTTACGAAACGACACATGTTTGAAAAAACATTCAAAAATTTGATAAAACTTTTTTTTGAACATCTAAGATTTGAGGAGAGAATAACAATACTGCTATCACCTTAAGTTTAGCCAGCACATGTAAATCGGCGATGAAGTCGAGAATCTCGAATAGGAAAGGCCGAACGGCTTCCGAAGCGGCTGTGTTAAACTGGTCATCCGGAATGTCAACGTCGATGTCTTCAAGAATTTCATTTAATCCTGGAAACATCGATGCAGAGCGTCGATTTCATACCTTCGCCGGCATCTTGAAGAATCAGATGAGCGATCGTGATGAAGTTCCGTTCGTGCATTGGACATTTAAATTTGATTGCTTGGATCATTTCTGCCACCACTGCGCGGGAAATGCTCTGTTTATCCCGTTCCTGGAATACAGGACAGAAAATGTTCTAAAATCTCCTTGATAATCGTTAGTACAACGTGACACCTACTCATAATGACAAAAATTTGTGGGGTCAAAACGGAATTAGATTAAGAAAATCAGGTAAAATGATTACGTCTGAGAAGAAAAACTGGCCTTTTACGAAGAAGTCAACTAAGAAAAAAACTACGTTAAGATATGTTGGTACCAAACTGCTGGATTGGACAGCTTACCCGTATTAAAGCTCGATTACAAGCTGTGCATACTGTAAGAAGACTTTCCAGCTTAACAGGGCATTCGTGAAGCGCTTCTGCAAGCCATTTGCAGAACGAATCCACTAGTGAGACGGCTGACTGAAGAATATCTCGTTAAGATGCCTGCCTACAGAAATACCAAGTAATCGATAAACCTCAGTAAGAAATCATTCGAAAGTTATATTAGTCGATTTTTCGAACTATCATACGCAGTACCACTCAGTCAAAAAAAAACCTCTGCGATAACCCAAAGACCGGGTTATTTAATTAATATATTGGCGACGACAAGAGTAAAATATGAGTCAAGTGTTCCTAAACAAACTGACTCGCATGACCCATCAACGGATTATTCTCTTCTAGGCAGCCTTATTTTGCTAGGCGGAGCTTTTGTGGCACATGCAAAAATGTATAAAAAAATGTTTTCCAGACGAGTTTGTTCGTCTGATTTGAATCACGCGGTCGAAATACCGAGACCGTTTTTGTTGAGAAAAGCACTACATTGGGCGGATCCAGTCCCGGAATGATTTATTTTTTCCTTAATAAGAAGGAATTACAGGGATTGCTGCCAATGAAAAAGGTACATATAACTCGAACATGCCGAATACTGTGGTCGATTTGAACCAGATTTGACTCATTATGAGAGCGGTTGAAAATAATGTATAGCCCGCGTTCTTGCCATACAAATTTAAGCGTCGTCAACAATGTGCAGAGCATCTCGGTCTCTCCAACATGAAGTAGTCAGCTCCTTCAGGAAATCTTTGAAATTTACCTTAAACGTGCTGAAATTCTGCACTTTTAGCACGTGGCTCATCACGATAATCGCGCTCTCCATTTCAGATCGAGTGGGTTTGGTGCCTCCTTCAGATGAGATCTGAATAAACGCAAAAAGTTCACCCAGAAGCCAAAAAATTTCGAAAGGAATGAACCGCAAAGGGTTCCTTCCGAAAGGAATATAAATGTAAAAAATGTATTTAGAAGTATAGTTGCTAAATTAAACGGGTACATTATATAATAAATGAGAAACGCCTTTACTATAACGATCACAATTTCACGCTCTAAAAATGTTCAACGAAAATTTAAATTCCTTAGGACGTCCAAAAATGTTCCAATACGGTTTTTGTTGTATCTTCAATTTTTTTGAATTTGCTTCATCAACCGGTGGGCAACAGTACTACATGATTGCAATGATTAAAATCGGAGCTTTATTGCAGGTGTTGTCCCTACCTTCTCGCAGTTCCAATGCTTATCCTTTTGAAAATAATCGTTTCACGACACTGTCTATATAAATACCTGTACACGCGCGCATGCATTCATACATGTAGATGTGGCGCGTATGTGTATGTGTGTACGCGTGTGTATGCCCATTGTGTGTGTTTGTGTGTGTGTTTCTGCTTCTGCTTCTGCTTGTGTGTGAATACGTCTGCTTGTTTACGTCCATATCTGTGTTCGCACACGTGTATATATGCTCGATATAAAAATCTATGATAGAAAACACCTGCGCGTGATATCGTCTGAGAAAAGACTCCATATGAGTTATTGCAGTACTCCAATGGTTCAGATAGGTGTCTGACGGTACTTCAACTATATAAGCAGCCAGATTTCTCATGGTAGTGCAAAGATTTGGAAGCCAATTCTCAGAGAGATCCTAAAAAAAAATTCCTCTAAGAAACGATCACCTAGTTATTACTGGAAACTATACAGAACGTCCAACCACTACTACCCATGAAACATATCATAGCTCAATATTTACAAAACGTTCACAACTGGATCGTTACTTGAATAGAATTACAAATTTTCCATATGAAATGCACGTACCTCGAAAAGAAGCTGAATGAAGTAGACGGGTGAAAGTTCTTGAAAATCAGCCAGAGAGAGTGAAATAACCTTCCAAAAAGAGTTCATTCGAGAAAGTGGTGTATCGAAAAGTTGCATACAAATACCAGAAGAGGACAGCTTAATAAAAAACATTAAATTCATAGATAATATACGGCTGGATACTGTTTAGCCATTTTCTGCCATTCTTTTCCTTTTATTTTCTGTCCTGAAAATTAAGTGACCTGATGAAGTGTGACTCGTAGCATCTGCTTCGCTACACTGCGACCGTTTCCCGGTACAAACATTTCTGAGTCGTGCCATGGATAGATTGGATGATCAATGAGGCTAAATCATTAGTTCGGAAATTCACAGTTATTGATTATAGATGATAACCGATAGATATGTGTGTTCTACACCTAACAAGGTCTACTCCAACGTACAAGAGCTACTCTGATTTCTAAAGACGAAACCATCAAATTGACGTACTGTGTCACAGTGTGAAGAAGGGAGAAGAGGATTGGTGCTGCCATTACCGGCTCACGATGAAGAAATGTCTCAACGGCGATCAAACACAACGAAATCGTCTCCTCATCAAACGACGTCAAACATTCGTTACAGTAATCACAACGCAACTCGACACTGAAAAACGCTCAAAGCTTTGTGGTACATCCTTTCCCTATACACTTATTCATCCGCCATAGTTTGGGTGCAGTCAACTTGTATGAGAAGCGACCAAAAAATTTTTCATTTAGAGATTTTAGAAAGCGGTTTGAGGTCGGCCGTTATCAACTTCTATCACTCATTCAGACTACTGATGTTTATTGATGTGGGAGCCGCTGGAGTTTTTCTGAAATCTCACTGAGTGCAGAAGCTCACGACTGTAAGAAATAAAACAAGCAAGTCTTCTAAGCAAATAAGTCAGTTTATAGACAATCTCTATGCATATCTATTCCTAGTGGATTTCTAAAAAACAATAACAAGCATCCAGCAATCAAGACTAGGTAAAACGCAAGTGGTGCCTGGGAAAGGAAAACTTTAGAGGGAACCATCAATGTTCATTCTTCTCCTTCCCTCTACACCCTCATACTCCCTTCATTTCTTTCTCTGTTTCCCTCTCTCTTTCTTTCTCTCTTCTCCTCTGTTTTCCACTCCCGATCATTCGCAATTAGTGACAAAAACACATTCACAAAACAGATTCTGGGACATAGGAAACGTAGTGGTACGAGATCTGTGCGATACGCGCATTACCGTTGGTTCGTCCTCATCCTGTGTCAACCCATATGCTGTGCAAGAATTAGCCAAGGGATGTTTCATCCACAAATTTCAAAGGAGAAAAAACGATTCTTCGGACCAATTTACCCGTCAAGTGACAGAGACTTTTGGTCACAAACGGATACTAGGTCGTCTTTACTGGCTAAAGAACCGTAGATGAAGGGAATTCTGAGATCATCTGCTATTGGGCCACAAAAAAACCGTCGCCAATGAAGTGGATTCTGTTCCTTGCTTCTTTATTACATCGTCTTTGGGATGCGACATAGTGGACGATGTGCGTCGAATTTAATGCATACCGTGTACGTTACGTTTCTCATTAGATCGAATTAAAAATGCGCCTCTATGAAGTTCTCATGCTTATTTATGTCCTATAGAAACAGCTGAACGAAGACAAATATAGAAATTCGAATCACTTACTTTGTACTTGACTTGTGCTGCTTGCTTGGTTCCTTTCGTCTTATAGCTTCGTTGCGTTTTCGCATTCCACGCGGTTCAACGATCGTTGGATGCAACGACTGTTCTCCTTCGTGCTCCTGAATATTCCCTACGTATCTTTAGACGTTCTTTGGCATCACCTTAGAAAGTGCCAGAAAACCATAAAGTGGTCATTTTGTTAAACTATGGAAAAGTAATAGTGAGTGCTTCACTGGCATTTATTTGTCTGATGCAAAGCATAAATGATCTAAAACTTGCATTTCCAAGAATATGACCTCTTCTGGAAAAACCGGAACAGATAATTCTTTCGCAACAATACGATAATAGCTTTTTCGACCGAGGAAAACCCGAATACTACTTATTACTACCTCGGCCGAGTGGCAACTTTACACAAGATTAGTAAAGTGCGGCGTCTGACGGTTAAGCACTTTAACCATATTGTTCACAAGTTTTTAAAAAATGAAAGAAAAAACTAACATCGTTGTTATGATAATTTTATTTACTTACTTACATGGATACTTGGATGGCCCGTCCTTACTGGTTGTACGGCATAATTTCAGTTTTCTTCGGAGTTTCGTTGGTTTAGGCTTTGTGGTTCGTGGAGTCCCGAGATCAGCCTAGCCAAAGTCTGTCCCAGATCTTCACCACCACCGGCAGTCGCCGCCCTTGTGGATCAGAGAGAGATTTGCCACCATTGGACCAGTCTGATACCAGGGCGGTGGTGGATCTCGGTATTGGCTTCCTCTCAGCTGGGTTTCCTGATGGATATGCCGGACTCCCTCGCATCTTGAGAAGCCCTGCTGGTGGGATGAATTTCCCCGTTGTACAATCGCAGCCCGACACCCAAAACACGTCCCAGCCACGATTGGGCAGTAAACCGTTGGGTGGAAGAATTTTATTTAACCAAAATAATTTCATATCGTGAGTAAAGGTTACCAGGATCGACTTTCTCTTAACCTCGGCATTGGAATATGAATGTGTCGTTTTCTTGTTCAGCAATCGCGAGGTTTTTAAACAGCATACATTTACTTCCATAAAAAACACAATACAATACAACGCTAGCTGACGTTTCGGCAGTATCGCATTCTTCAGAGCCGCTTTTTACGTGACTTCCAATGAGGAAGCTTAGAACAGCTGATTATAGTCGCATATGGTTGATGTCTATCCTTTCCTCATCCTTCCTTGGAAGTCACGTAAAAAGCGGCTCTGAAGAATGCGATACTGCCGAAACGTCAGCTAGCNTTCCAATGAGGAAGCTTAGAACAGCTGATTATAGTCGCATATGGTTGATGTCTATCCTTTCCTCATCCTTCCTTGGAAGTCACGTAAAAAGCGGCTCTGAAGAAGGCGATACTGCCGAAACGTCAGCTAGCGTTGTATTGTATTGTGTTTTTTATGGAAGTAAATGTACGCTGTTTAAAAACCTCGCGATTGCTGAACAAGTAAAGGTTACCTTAAATGAACACTTTTTCGAAACATATAAGAAAAATACACACTAACTTGAATAGTAGTGACAGTCAGACTTTCTGGTCTTATCATACCCTTCGGCGAATCGGACTCTTCTTCACTGATATCGTCCCACGTAACGATATCTGTAGGCTGGTCCGTTTCAGAGCATGCATGTGCTTGCGCTGAAAATTAAACAGTATTTATGAGTAATACGGTAGGCAGAAATCTTACTTTGTATACTTAAAAAATATGGTAGAATTCATAGGTTCAGCGATAAAATGGCTACAGCTTATCGTGGCCAGTTGACTCGCAGATGTTCTTATCAGCTGTTTTCCAACGAAACACAACATGTTAAATATACCACGTGTTTTATAAGAAGCTGCTACTAAAAACAATGGAAAATTACCAGAGATTTCAGTTATTCTTGGGTACACGAAGCAAGTAAATGCGCTTAGATCACAAGAAAGTGAAAATTCTCTAGAATTCGTTTGCTGTAGAGAGGTCTGCTGTCATCGACACAAACCTTCTAGGGTCTTGGCCACAACGTTGATTAGTCGCATAACTCCGTCACTAATTGGAACCTGGTCGAAACGATACTGAAAATAGCGAAATGCTTAAAACGAACAAAGATATCTTTTGTTTAATGACAAAATATATTTTGTCCAACTTTAATATCGTTCGGCATAAATTGACTTAGACCAGATTGGAACACATGACACAACTAAACGGTAGCCAGGTCATTGCTATGATTCTTTTAAAACAGAATGGAAGTGTATACTGTAAGAAAATACTGCATTAGTACATTCAAATATATCTGACATAAAGCTGGTGGTAAAATAGGCACACCATTTTTGCGAAAACGTGGGCAACAGAATATTTTTACAGAGAGCCTTGTTCTACCTTTTATTTGTTGCCTACTACAATTTATCACGGAATGGTATTACGCAAAATACAACCACAAGGATGCTGAGATATTTGCAAAACTCCGGAACGCAGGTGTCAGCGCTGAGGAATGAACGCGCTATTACCCTTTCCAGAGACTAATGCGTTCACCACCACAATATGCGGGTACTTCGTTTTGCCCGTCTCTCAGTTAGTTCTATTGATCAGTGCCATCAGCAATAATCCGGGATTGATCTGCGGTAAAATCAACAACGAAGTCTTGTGTTTAATCGGCTACTCTTTGCATCCACCAAAGTCGATTGCATAGTAAAATGACTAGATAAAAATAGCTCAGAGCCCCAAAACGTCTACCTTATATGTCTTAGGTGAAGTAATATAGATAGAAAATTGTCGTTGATGGTACGACATTGGACTGCAGTAAGAAGAGGAGAGGTATCGAATGCATATTTGGCCTATGCAATGAATTGTGGTTACCTTCCGATGTGTCAACTCATTCGTTTTAGCTATTTGGTTAGGGCAGTATCACGGAAGGATGTAGAGCTTTGTTTACCCTAGACGTGAGTTCGAACCAAAGACCATGCATTTATTGCATGACACTCCTAACACCCAACGGGCCACTAGACTTTCTGCTTGACATCTCATGAGGTATACCTAAAGAGGGCAAGAAAACCAAAACATTTGATGGGATTATTTGATTAGGTGACTAGATTAAATGAGTAAAACTTTGTTTTCCTCGATTATTGGATACGAAGTCAACCTATTTCTTATCGCACGAACGGTCCAACATCACGAGTTGTTCCCAACGAAGAACTTGAGACTCATTACTATGCGGATTTTACACAATGGTCTATGGGCGCGTTTAGTGCAGTGGTTAGAGGAGCCCTGCAACACACACTGGATCGGTCCCTGGTTCGACCCTGTACCCTTCACTTACCCAGTCCTACATCCCTCTGCGGGTCCGTAGGTTGGTACCAGACTTATCTGGGAGGACGCTAACAGTGACTTAATACATCAGCACTTTCCCGCAAGTCATCATCTCAACCAAATGTGTATTCAGCCACTTATACTTTGTTTAGTGGAGTCAAATACGTTCCGCATTTCAAATGAATTGATTTACGCCAAACGCTCTTTCTTTGCCACAACAGGAGTCTAAAGTTAAGACTATTTCAAGTCACGAATTCATAATTTGACCGCCTTTACACTTAAATATCTTCGTCTTCTCAGTTTTCATTACGTTGTTTATAAGTAATAATCATCAGTAACTTACCTTATAGAGAATAAGAATAAACGAATTCAACCAAAGATGTCTTGAATGTTGTGGAAGCAGTTTTAATGAATAGTTACTCTGGTGCTGATCGCTAGCTAACTTTTGCGGAGATGGTAGATGAAGAAGCAGTTGTACCACAGTTGGAAGTAGTTGGTTCCCTTAGCAAAGTCTCGATTAACGAGAAAATCGTATCTTTTGCTTCGGATTTTCAAATTGAAGTGAAAGAAAAATCAGTTCATTGGACAGTCCGTAAATTATACAGTTACACATGAGATTTATTTTGTATAAACTTCTAAATAATAAGTTTATTCAGAAACAAACTATAAGAGTTGAATGCCTTTTTTCTTCTCGAAACCGGAAAATCGAGGAAGAAATGAAGAAAAGAGACAATTTAGTAGAAATATCTCACCTATGCACAGATTACAGTCCAGAATCTCCGGCAAACCAGAAAGAAAAGCATTACAGACAACCGATATCCTGGAATTATTTCCAGTAACAGCAATTGAGACCACCCAGGTAATGGCGATGGTGTACGCTTGGGAAACCTACCGTAATCTAGCCGGTGGAATAGTGAAACACTTCTCAGTATTACTAAAACCAATAAGAGTATTGAAATGTCGGAACAGCAACGATTGTTTCTTCGCATTCGCCTTTTCATCAGTCGGAGTGGAGTTCTTATTGCTAGAAAGCAGCACTACCATTTCCCACGATTTATATATATATATATATATATATATAATATATATATGTAATACTGTTATATTTATTCACTTGAATGCTCAAGTGACCAGACTTCATGAATCAAGACGAATCGGGACAAACATAGTTTCCACTTGATTGTTCGGAAAGATCTTTTCTTAGTTCGAGTCTTTTGATCTGCTCTAAGGCTTTCCTGGGTCGTTGCAAGCTAGTAATTAGGTGCTTTCAACATGTCAGCAATTCCTGCAGCTCGTTTTGTCCTACCCAATTGGGCTTGATATTAAGAATTTCGAACTTTTTCTTGATTTCGGACACCTTTCTAGGGAAGAACCCACTCTAAATAGAAGCTAGATACTCAGGAAAACCCATTAGAATGAATTTCGAATAGAAATATAAGGTAAACGAATCGTTTTCTGGTTGGATCAATTATGATGAAATGGGAAAGTTTATCACTTCCGCATGGAAGTATAGCGTAGAGTAAGTCTGTGCCATAACTCGCTATCGCTGTTGAAGAAACTAAGCCATGGCTGCAAAACTCCTTTAAGTTCAGAAGAGACTAAAATGAATGCAAGCCGGAAAAACCCAGTTGGTGACATTACGCAGTGCTATCTCGAGACCTTCCTTAGGAGAAAGAAAGCGTGCTAAGCAAAATATCAGTGACATTTTCGAGTTCTCGAGTAGAAGTTGTCCTCGAATTGCGGCGACCCAGAAAACTATCTCACTTAAGAAGAACACATTTTTAAAAGCTCGTACCTAAGGAAGGAAACGAAGAGCGAAACGACAAGATATACGGTATGCCTCTCCGGATTTTCCACGTCGACAACTCGATTAAACAAAAGGCACAGATTGCTCTCCTCGTCCACAAATTCGCGTAGACGACTGTATGGTCCTTTAAACAAGCGATTAAAAAGCCATAAAGGACACAGTTGGTTTTCGTTCTTCAATTCAGTGAAATAACGGCTAAGTCATTACTACAAAGTTAACCAGAACTGATGAAGATTATGGCCTCGATTTGGTTGACAAAAAAATCCGGTTATTTGTATAGACATTCAGATAGGTGTGAAATCTGCACATAACTAAGCCATGGCCTGAAGTTTTCCTAGGTGGTCGAATTTTCGGCATTTACTTTTAGTACTACGACTAAAAAGAAATGTGGAAGCATTCTTTCTACAGAACTGCGATAGGTAAAGAAAAGTAATAAACGCAACAACAGCTACCGAAAGCGCGAGAGAATTCTAGAAAATTTAGAAGCGTTCATACCGGCAGAATAAGTTGGCGAAGTGACCAAAGGTGATTGCGTATCCGAATCAGCTGCAAGCAAACAATCAAAAACTACATTAACATCGTGATCACCACCGGTGAACAGCTAGAAGACCGACTACTTGCTGTTACCACAGCAGCCGCGAAGTAGTGCTGCTCACTAATAGTGATCGAAATGAACGAGATAGAACATTCAAAAGTAAAAATGTAGTGATAAAAAGGTATGGAGAGGTCAAAGAAGCTATGAAAGAAGTTGTTGGTGGGTAAAGAAGGAAAACATGCGGTGAACTTTAGTTACATGCAACAACAGGCAACGAGTGCACTTGGCGGGGGGACGAGGTCTATTCCGAGGGTCATCATTCAGTCGTTATTGGTTAACATTTTAGATCAAGTTATCTCCACTTCTCACTACTCCAGTTATACTATGCCATCTAGTGAAAGGTAATATGAACAAGTGAAATATTTCGTAAACGAAATAGATCAGCTGAAATCCAGTCGGTGGTGATCCTCACTACTCCAACAAAGTAACTGCCCGGGTATAAGTTGTGCTCGACATAACTGTTTTGGTGCTTTCTATGCAAGAGCAGTAGCTGCGTTCGTTACGGAATTCCTCGTCCCCACGCATTCACATGCTGGTGTGTCCTCCGTGCTGTTGTCGGATACGTACGACGTGGTCCTGAAGTAGTTATAAGCGACACCAGAGACGCAGCGCCAACGGTGATGTCGGCCGCCATCTGGCGCCAACGATTCACCACCTTCACCATCGTCACCACTCGTCGAATCTTCATCCGACAAGACAACGCCGCTTCGGAGAGTCGTCCACGACGACGCCAACGCGGCAGACGTGACAAGCATAACACTGCTGCTAAGCGAAAACAGAATCTGTTTATTTCTTTTTCTCTCTTTGTTAGTTAATTTCGTTAACGAAAACAAGTGACGCTGCACATAGTAACAGTGGTAGTCTGCATAAAAAAGTAATGACTTGTTTCCTAAAACTAATCAATACTATAGTTAGTGCTGCCTGTAAGTGCGAGTGAGTTGTCAATTTTCCCCACAAGCTCAAAGAGGAAATCCATTGATTAGTAGATAGACATGTATTTTTGCGAATCTGTTATGATATAAAGGCAACACTGACGCCAATTTTCTGTACAATGCTGTAAAAGGAAGATGAAGTAAAGGAATATGAACAATTGGTAAGCGAAAGAAAGCGCTATTGTTTGAAAACCACTCAACGATGGCTGGTCGCAAATATGTTTGGAGCTTCTATGAAAACCTTGTTAAACAAAAAATATGACAAAACGTGCGCGCGTAGAGCAGTGGTAAGAAATTTCCTACAATGCGAACCTGATCAGTAGTTCAATCTCTTTGGCCCTGCATCATCCCAGGATCTGCAAATTGCTAGTAGAACTGCAAGGGAAGTCAAAAACACTTAGTTCTTTACATCGATATGTCCAATAAGTCATTACTCATTTATGCTTGATAAATGAACGGCCCGTCCTCACTGGTTGTGGCAGGCCTCAGCATAATCACCATTTTTTCGGAGATTTGCTGGTTACGCCATTGTGGTTCCCTGGAATCCCGAGGTCAGCCTGGCCAAAGTCTGCTCCAGGTCTTCACCATCACAGGCAGTCGCAGTATTTGTGATTTAATAGGATGTGACACCATGTGGCTTTGATACTAGGACGATGGTGGCTCCTGGTATTGGTTTACTCTTAGCTAGGCTTCCTGATGGAAACACCGGACTCCTTGTCGGCTTGAGAGACCCTGCCGGGGGACGTATCCACCGCTGTACATCGCATTCCGACACACAGGAACACCTCGCAGCCACGATGGGGCGACGAACCGTTGGAAGCCGATAAGTCACTGTAGAGATCAAATATACGTACCACCATCTAAGTGGAGTCAATGGGTCATAGACCATACATAAAGGATTGATCAGCCGTGAACGCTTTGCGCATTGTCCTTGATGTACGAAAGAGAAAACGAAACCTAACAATTCTACTTTTTCCTACCTCTGCAGGTTACAAGAAGTTTCCAAGTGAAAAATCAGCGTTATTGTTGCCTTTTAAAAGATAGAAATCAGTCAAACGAAAATCGGATCAAATTTACGATAAGACAGAAAGGAAAAAATTTAAATAGAAATATTTAAGCAAGTGAACGGGTACGAAATTCTTGTCTATGAATATGTTAGAATAGTCTGTCTTGTCTTTCCAGGTCCTGAGGAAGGCGAAATCCGCCGAAACGTCAGCTTGTGCGTAAATAAAGAAATAAAATAGCACCTCGTGTTTGCTGAACAGAAGTAGAAAGATATATTCAATCAATGCCGAAGTTAATAGAAAGTCGGACTTGGGTGTTAGAATAGCATTATGCTTTGCTTTACTACCCATGCGTAGCGCAGGAAGAAGAAAAGACAGAGAGACAATGAGCAATATGCAGACTACTGAGTTACAATAAGAACAGCTCCCATAATGGGAAAATAGCACGCAGATCGAGCAGCCACGGTAAAAGCAACAACATCAACAAGAAATCCCAATATCTATCGTTTATGTGTGTGTGTGTGTGTGTGTGTGTGTGTATGTGTATGTGTATGTGTATGTGTATGTGTATATGTATGTGTGTGTATGTCTGTGTGTGTGTGTGTGTATGTGTGTGTGTGAAGTGGTACATTATAGGTAATAATGGATTTAGACTGCACAAAGTGAAAGTGACGTACTGGACAGATTCAATGGCTGATAGGTGAGCTGATGCTTTAGAGCATTATATTCTTGTAAATATTTTACGATTGATCTCGTCGTCGCCGCTTCTTCAATAGCCTGGAAAGGGACACGAATGAGAGCACAAAATTACTTTGGGAGCTAACAAAGTGCTATAAACAAAACACTTTGTTTGACCATGGTGATCAACTAGTAAAGCTCACTGTGCACTGTCGCTCGTGGTGTTTGTACATATAGTCCTCGTTATATACTTCGCTGACCCATACTCATAACCCTCCCAAGGGTTCACCGCTTCATCGTGGCTGGGAAGTGTTCCTAGACGTCGGGCTGCGACGCACAGCGGGGTATTCACCCCCTGGCAAGCTCTTTCAAGCTAAGAAAGAGTTCGGCATTTCCATCAAAAAGCAGATAAGAGTAAACCAATACCAGGATCCACCACCGTCCTGGTATCAAAGTCGCGTGGTGGTAAATCTCCCTCTGATACACAGGGGTTGCGACTGCCTGTTGTGATGAAGATCTAGGGCAGACTTTGTCCAGGCTGATCACGGCACTCCAAGGAACCATAATGGCTTAACAAGCAAATCTGCGAAAAATAGTGATTGCACTGGAGCCCGCACAACTAGCGAGGATGAGCTGTTGAAGTATCAAGCTCAAGTAAATATACTCATAAACCGGGATGTTCTGGGCCCATGTTCCATCGGTTTCATTGACCTGGGAACTCTGTCATCCATAGAAATGTTCAAGATTGTGTGTCTTGTGACTGCTTCTAGACGAACCTCACCTTTTTCCTCAATGAAATGTGGAATGTTGCATAACTGTACCTTGCTTGTAATCCTGAGACGACCGTGCTAAAACGTTACCAGGTCTTCACGATAGACCATCGCTGAATCATAAAGGAGAAAAGGAGCTAACGACCTGCGCATAGTATTCGTCTATCAGGATAATAGAGACTTCTACAACCAGTTGACCGAACGAATAAGGACGATGTTAGAGACTGGGTATGCGTTAAAGTGCTGTTCTCCAGCGTCATTTATTCACGATAGCCAATTTTCATTAAAACGTTCATCGCAGGACATCTCTACCAGTGGAAAAAAATTCTTTTCACTGATAAGCATTAGTACTTGTCCTACACAGACAAATAAGAAGGACCTTGGCATTTAGTGTCAATTCGAATTTGATAAACACTAATCTGAGCTATTTATTTATACAATCTTATAAAATGATATAAGATCATATAAATAAATAAATCAACTATCTATGCCGAAGTTTACAGAAAGTCGTTCTTCTGAGTTACTAATCTGAGTGTGACTATCGAGAAAAGAACCCACCTTTTTCACTTTATTTATTTTCCTCTGGTAAATTTCACTCATCGGATCCGTATGCATCAGATCTGGGTGAACAACATCATCAATTCAGAAAGGATAAAAATGATGAGGAAATATGTAAAAGGAAAACACGGAATGTGGACTCAGAACTAAATGAAGTTTGCCACACGTTGGAAGTGAAAGAAAAATCAATGCAGTTCTTTATGAAACTTAAAAATATGTTCAAAAGAAGGAGCCAGATATTTCTTTTAGGAATCCAGAAGTTCGAAGCTTTTTTCTTTCAAACGGATATAATTTCATATCACTTCGTAGACGTCGTCAACTTTTACTTATTGCCTACTAAATTTTAATGACTAATTTACTAAAATTGACGATATTGTGATTATACCATAGCTTCAGCTTAACTGCATGCATACTGATTTGTGCTCTCCGGATCAATCCCGTTGATGGGTGGTTGCTGATAGCCCGAATAGGTCAATAACATGGCTGAGAGACAGACGAAATGAAGGACCCGCACGAACATGTTAGTCCCCGGAAAGGGGTAATAACGTATTCGGTCCCCACCGTAGACAGCAGCGGTCTGGAGCTTTGCGAATATCTCAGTAACAATATGGTTATATTTCACTTCATAGAAATTGAAAACAACGGTTACAGCACAAATCTGTTAAAAGGATAAAAAGATAAAGCTCTCGGCATTGATCAATCCCCGAGGGATGCGCCATGCATTCGATTTCATTAAGTATCGTTGGAGGTGATTGAATGCATATCTTGCTTTAACAATGACTCGCGGTGGCCTACCGATACATCGAGCCAGTGCTGGTATCCTCCCAAACAAGTCTGGTACCAATCTGCCGACCCCGCAGGGATGGAAGGCTTGGTGAGCCACGGGCGCGGGAATTGATCCCCGTGTATGTTGCAGGGCACCTCTAATCACAACGCTACATGCGTTCCTTTAAATTTGTTAGTGCCTGATAATGGATTTGAAAGAATGTACCTTGCACGAAGACTGTTTCTTCACTTTGACTGCAAAGCTGACTCTCCAGAACCAGCGTCTCGAATCTCTGAAACATGACACTGATCGTATTCTGTTCAAGCGTTAACCGAAACTGTTACATCACAGTCGGTAACACAGAATTGGTAGCTGTCTCAGTGGCTTGGCTTGGTGTTGATTTGTAGACGGTTTGAGGAAAGAAGCCTTTGACTATGTCACATCTCTTTTGGCATCAGATTTTTAAATTTCTCTACAGTTATGCCTAATGACGAACCTGTATGAAGAAATCAAAAGTGAGCATTGTTTCATCCGGCAACTGAGTGGTAAGGAGACGTATCGTGTTCACGATGATAGGACGATCGATGATACACGAATCGAATTGCGACTCGAAACAGAAGCAGATCATCTAGAATGTGGAACAAGTAGTGATACCTACATTTTAAAGGTCTCAACCTTTAAATCTATACGTTCTTGGTGTTTTTCCTCTCTTAATTCAACTATTCACTCTCTTCTATGGTGTACCACCTTATTCGGAAGATGGTTTACTACATAAGGTTAGACTATGAAGAACAGCAGAAACTTTTCATCCGGCCAGGAGCAGAGTGGAAGCGATTCATCCAAAAGCCAAGCAGGAATAAATTTAGGATTTGCGGCTGTTTTGCCAGAAACTCTTCTACTGGCAGTACCGTAAGCATAGGGCTATACTGCGTGCTAACTCTGGCGTCACACCACCGGCAACAAATACTTTTCTTTACACCAAACAAAAAAAAGATATTAGCTTTCGTTGCTCATTTCTCTCATTTTTCCAAACGTTTTCAAGAAGAACTATTCAAAACATCAAATTTTTGGCGATTCGAACACATTATGGTTTTCATTCCCGCAAGAAAGAATACACACCTTAAGAGTTTGAGTCGGAAGTGCTCGAAGAGCGATTATCGCACGTTGGGCAACTGCAGGATTCGGATCGTGAAGCGATGTTACAAAATGGTAGAACAGAGCCGACAATGCCGTTTGAACGACCTGAAAAATTCAACAACAACAATACATCGGCGCCGAAAACGTTCCTTCACAGTAAAAAGAGTGAAGTAGACGGGTGGAATAACTCAGGAAGTGATCGGAACTTCGGAACTACAGTGATGAATGATAAAGCAAACCAATAGGATATTGGAAAGGGGGGGGGGGNGGCTGGGGGAGGGGTGGGTTACAGCGAAAAGATGTGCAAAGCAAACCAAGATCTCCTTCGGAACAATGAAGTAGCCGTTATCCTATACAATCCTCTCAAATAAATCCAAGCGGTACTCGAGATTTAAGCTGATTCACAACTTTCTCCATATCGTCTCCAGCATGATGAAATACTCAAGAACAATTCTTTCTACTTCTGTTCAGCAAACATGAGGTGCTATTTTATTTCTTTATTTACGTACAAGCTGACTTTTCGGCGGATTTCGCCTTCCTCAGAGCCTGGAAAGGTCAAGTTGACAGCAACCTATTCGGCCAAACACCTCCATAACCAATTATTCAATCAATGCCGAGGTTAATAGAAAGTCAGACTTGGGAGTTACCCAAGAATATTTTTGAGGATTTGCTCGAGATGATATAATGAACCGCCAGTTAATTCAAAACATGTATTCAGCCTATATTCTCTCTGGCTATTGAAGGTTATCGGCACTGCAAGGTTCACCTTTCCTTCACAGAAAAACAAGTTTATTGCATCGTTTTCTTGTTCAGCAATCGCGAGGTTTTTAAACAGCATACATTTACTTCCATAGAAAAACACAATACAATACAACACTAGCTGACGTTTCAGCAGTATCGCCTTCTTCAGAGCCGCTTTTCTCGTGACTTCCAATGAGGAAGTTTAGAACAGCTGATTATAGTCGCATATGGTTGATGTCTATCCTTTCCTCATCCTTCTTTGGAAGTCACGTAAAAAAGCGGCTCTGAAGAAGGCGATACTGCCGAAACGTTAGTTAGTGTTGTATTGTACTGTGTTTTTCCATGGAAGTAAATGTATGCTGTTTAAAAACCTCGTGATTGCTGAACAAGAAAACGACCAATTGTTTCATTGTTTGAGCGTCCTGTAACTGTCATTGATCAAGGTGATCTAGTTCATGCATGGGCTCCAGTGTCGCTTACACAACTCTGAATTTCTTCTCCAGTGAGATGTTGAAAGTGAACGAACACGACTTCACCTACAACTTCTAGATAACTGTTATGCGTTCCCATCTCTACACGACAGATAGGCACCGACCCTTTTGGATAGAAAGGTTTTTGCCCCACGATCGGAATTATTTCAAAACAGCAACGATTCATGAGATCAGACGGCCCAACGATCGAAACCGTTTCAATAACAGAAATCCGTATAAGTCCAATCGATTTGTATTCAAGCTCCTAGAGATAATAATACTGGAAGGCAAAAACAGAAAACAGAACAGAACAATGAAACAATTAATTGGTCGTTTTCTTGTTCAGCAATCACGAGGATTTTAAACAGCATACATTTACTTCCATAGAAAAACACAGTACAATACAACAGTAGCTGACGTTTCGGCAGTATCACCTTCTTCAGAGCCGCTTTTTTACGTGACTTCCAAAGAAGGATGAGGAAAGGATAGACATCAACCATATGCGACTATAATCAGCTGTTCTAAACTTCCTCATTGGAAGTCACGAGAAAAGCGGCTCTGAAGAAGGCGATACTGCTGAAACGTCAGCTAGTGTTGTATTGTATTGTGTTTTTCTATGGAAGTAAATGTATGCTGTTTAAAAACCTCGCGATTGCTGAACATGAAAACGACGCATTCATATTCCAACGCCGAGGTTAATAGAAAGTCGATCCCGGGAACTATATCAAGTTTAACCCTTTTATTTACTGCCTTTTTCTTTTTAATGGCAGGGCATGTTGCGAAATATAACTCGTATATAATGTTGACATATTTGCAAAACTCCGGACCGCAGGTGTACGCGGTGGAGAATGAACGCGCGCTATTGTCCTTTCCGGGTAGTAGCGCACTTCACCGCCACACCATCTGGGTCCTTCGTTTTGCCTGTCTCTCAGCTATTGATCTTTTGCCATCAACAGTCACCCGTCAACGGGATTGATCTGGGGAGTTCAAATCGGCATTGAACCCAGTTAAGCTGAGGCTTAGTTATAATCACAATCTTAACCCTTTTATTTACTGCCTTTTTCCTGAGACAGGTAGGAGACTTTTCCTGACATTTAGCTGAGAGACAGGCAAAACGAAGGACCCGGATGGTGTGGTGGTGAAGTGCGCTACTCCCCGGAAAGGACAATAGCGCGCGTTCGTTCCCCACCGCATACACCTGCGGTCCGGAGTTTTGCAAATATCTCAGCATTATATACGATTTATAACAAGTTTATTCTATGTTGGCTGAGGTGAACCAGTACGACAATCTACACTTTTCGGTGTAATCGTGGTAGGACAACAAGAATTATAATTGAGGTGAATGATCAAAATACCATCTCATACCTTGTTCCCTTTCACCGGTGCCATCTTCGTCACATGTCCCATTACATATGCCTTGCCAACTAAAATATTAATACAATACTTTTTAAAAAAATCACCAATGATCCTTTTTAAGCAGAGTGAAGGATATTCCTGGAAGATGCATTGGTTGTCAGTTCAAATTGTTCTAGTATGTCGAGACATAAACGTAGCAGAATTCAGTTGCCGAAGAAAACTCTCATCGACTGACCTGCGTCAAACCGTGTCTTCCAGTCAGGACAAGTGAAGTCCTTATGAACCGCTCGCCAGAAAGCCTCTTCTCCCGATGGAAACGAAATGCAGTGCAACAGTAGAAGCGAGGCGAGTTCACCTACCTGAAGAATAAGCCCTTGAAGCCTGTTTGTAAATCACTCTCGAAACTGCAGTGACACATAATCGGTATAAAAAAACTTCTAGAAACTGTCACTACAAAAATAAGCGCCAACCTGGACAACACTTACCTGGGCGAAATCCGATCGAAGTCTTGCCCACAGCTTCGGTACCATCATGCTCTCCTGAAATAGAAGCAGGAATTTTTGTTTTCTCAGCATTTTGGAACGAGAATTCAGCGAACGTGCCTGAATCCAAATCAGAAACCCTCGATGCTCCCTCCGTGCATTAGTCAGCGAACCACAATGGAGGCAAAGAAATTTCAACGTGTTCATGATGAAGTTTTCCACATCCGGATCTTCTGTGCATTCCAAATTCTGAAGGCATAGTACTACTAACCTTTTAAAGGTTCCTGCAGCAAAAAACTTACGGCTAAGAATTCAATTGAGACTAGACATTTGCTTATCGCTAGGAAGAGGTTTAAAGTTATGTGTAGCTTTAAAATTACCCTTGTGGTCTGGTTTAAACTTAAGCACTAACCAATCTTTGTAATTACACTAAGGGTTGGCTGCAGTTCTCCATAATTTAGGCTATCTTATCAAACAATAAAGTCTCTTTTTTTACACTAGCTTCACATCTTAACAACTTGTCACAGATAACCAAATGCAATGGATCCTTTTAGGAACTAAAATTGCAATTTTGACTTTAACCTACTACCTATTTTTTCATGGCGGAATGTGGTGTTAAGTCAAATACAATTACAAAGATAGCGAGATATGAGCAAAAGCTAGCTTCTCTTATTCCGTCATCCTTCTGGTCGAATTGCAAGTTTTCGAACAGATCAGAAGCTGTGTTTTCAAAAAATAGTAAGAAAGTATATCTTCGATATAATTCAGAAAAAGAATCCTACCTTGAGAAGTGCATGAATCATCTTCAACTGTGGCGGAAGTTGGTCGATAGAGAAACGGAATCGACCTACAGAAGTCGTTACGAAGTCGTCGGGCGGATTTTTCTGCTGCTGCTGTTGCTGTTGCTGTTGATTTGGAGAATTTGAATCCTGAAAGGAATGTCATTAGTTGTTAGTGAATAAAATCATAACAACATATTTTAAACTGTTGAGCTTATACGAAGTTGATAAATGACTTTTGTTCGTAATGATGCTGAGATATTTTCAAAATCCGGACCGCAGGTGTAGGCGGTGGGGAACGAACGCGCTGTGATCCTTTCCGGGAGCTTACGCGTTCACCACCACACCACGCAGGTCCTTCGTTTTCGCCTGTTTCTCGGCTAGTTTTCTATCGATCGATGTCATCAGCAAATCATTCTTATTCGGGTTAACTTTTATTCGGCTAACGTTTCGACGTCTTCTTCTTCATCAGAGCCGATGATCCAGTCGATGGTCCACTGTTGTTCTTCTTCTCGAAGTGGACTCTTCCTAGTCGTATCGAGACGGATTTCTCGTCAGTGGAACACCGCACGAACGAGGAATGCTCACCCGGCAGTGCTCTTTTATACAGGGCGGTTGTTGTTGAGATGACTATCCGCTGACGAGTACTCGAATACTCGAATACTTTGATGACAGAACAGTTTGTCTTAAGAAATCCAAAGAATCACGCAAATTTCAGCACAATTTCCATTTGAGTGGTATAATTTCCTGGATAGGCAACACTTTCTTCTCTCGTTGTCTCGAAAACCGTGCAAATGCCCTACCAAACAGTCTCGATCACTTGACAGCTAGTAGCAAGGTCGTTGCCAGGATAGCAATCGTTCTTGGCACTTGTGTATTACTCTCTGGCCGCCGGATATAGACGAGATTTCTGATTCTGTTTAAACCCAGAATAAAAAGGAGACGTTCTACTTCGAATGTGACGATGTTGTATAATATTTAGATATCGAGCCGTATTGTACCAATGCTCGAAAAACAATAGACTTTCCTTAATTCCTTCGACAAGACTGCTCGTGACAACCTGGCAAGTCTCCCTACCGACATCAGTCTCTGTTAGGGTAGTTGCTTCAGCGATGGCGATTTCTAACTGAAATAATAACATCTTCTGAGCTCAGATATCAGATATATCGGGGAATCGTCTTATTATAAAGACTCTCGCAAGTTTAGCCAGATACGAATGACGCCACATATTATGCATACCTCTTCAGCAGGCAAGACTCCAACAAATTCATCGTCGCCTGTGTGTTCAACAACAGCCGTCTGGAAACAAAGTCCACCTTCAGTAAAACTAACTGGAGCTGAAGTCACTGGCGGAGAAGCTAAAGAACGGATGTACACTGCGATCACTGAGTTTGTAGAAAATCCTATGCCACCTGTCTTACTACCGGGAGCAGTTTGTGTAGATAGAACGGTACTCGGATGGGATGCAGACGAAGTTGTGAGTTCGCAAGAGTCGACTGGTTCGTCCTGAAACAAAAAACGTCTACCTCATTGTTTCGAGTTGGCATGAATTGACAGAACCTACCTCTGCGGCAGTGATTGCCATCTCTTGTTTCGGAGAAACATTCTCCGTCATATTCATAACCATTTGATGGAGAAATGCCGCTTGCTGGCAGGCTGTAATCGGCTATCAGCATCACGTTAGCTAATTCCACTCACATATTTTTAAAATCACACTTTCAACTTTGACGAAAAAAGGGTCAAAGAACGTGCTAAAAATGGTCTTCCCTCAGGATATAGTTTTTTGTGGGTAAAAATTCTTGATCGTAAACATATTCCACCCCATTCACTTGCAACAAGCCATCTCAAAACTGTGCCGAAGAAGAGCTCACCTGCTGTTCAGCAACATCACTGTCAAGGGCTGGTGATGTTTCTTAGATAAGACGTATTAGTATATATATTACATGCCTATGTCCTTCAACTCGCTTGAAAGAAAACTTTGCATACATATTGCATAATTCCAGGGCCGGAATAGGACTTTTCCTGGACGACACTCGCCACAAAATTTTTGCTAGATAAGTTATCGAATGAATGACAAAGTCAATATGTATTCTTTCTTGATAAGCTTGCACGAGGTTGATAAATATATTTATTTTCGGCTAACGTTTCGACGTCTTCGTCTTCCTCAGAGCCGGTGATCCGAGTCGATGGTCCATGCTTGTTGTTCACCTCGACGTTGCGTCTTCGCCTTCCTGTCGAGCCAGATCTTCCTCAGCGAGCCATCTTCTCGAATGAGGCATCCTCACTCAGTGATGCCCTTTTATACACGATGCTGATGGTGGATATATAATGACAATGTCCGGTGGTAACAACTTGTATTTCTTCCGGACATACATCATTACGCACATCGTGCAGAGGTCGGTGTATTATCAGCTAGCACAAAGCGTAGTAATATTTCGAAACCGACCTTCCCTAAACCTCGGTGTGACAAATCATTATATATCCACCATCAGCATCGTGTATAAAAGGGCATCACTGAGTGAGGATGCCTCATTCGAGAAGATGGCTCGCTGAGGAAGATCTGGCTCGACAGGAAGGCGAAGACGCAACGTCGAGGCGAACAACAAGCATGGACCATCGACTCGGATCACCGGCTCTGAGGAAGACGAAGACGTCGAAACGTTAGCCGAAAATAAATATATTTATCAACCTCGTGCAAGCTTATCAAGAAAGAATACATATTGATTTGTCACACCGAGGTTTAGGGAAGGTCGGTTTCGGAATGACAAATTGTTTATGGGGCAAAAAAAAGGACCGAGAGGAAAGCGAGTCACAGATGACTCATATAAAACGATCCGGTTCCCTCAATTGTTGCTTAAAAGACATCCGCTTTCACTGCAGATTGTGGCAGTCATAACTTCGAACAAACGAAGAACACTCTACAGTTGATTACACTGGTGGAGGACTTAGTTCAGAAAAGGATACCCTAGCTATGAAATATCCCTTTTTACTTGAATAATCTCAAGTTCATTTTGTTTGAAAAATTTCGAAAGGCGTTTATATGCATTGTGAAGGATTCATGTTTGAATACAAAAGTTGAATAGGCTGGCATTTCGACATGTTTCACTTAGCTTGAAGGTTTTCGTGCTAATTTCGGATGACCTCTCTTCACACATACAATAGTCTAAGTTTGTAGCACGATGTTACTCGTTCCACTAACCGGAACAATCGGCGAAGCCATCCAATTCAGGGTTTTTGCAATCGTGGTCGGTGGTACGAAGTGGTACACTGAGAAGAAGGGAAACACATTCGAAGAGCTTCTCTGTCAGTGGTGACTGCTCATGAGCGACAATTTCATTTAAGCGCAACTGAAATCCAATTCCAATTCTCAACTAACAACTAGTAGGGTTATTTTTGATAGTTTCCTACTAAATAAATCAAATTATTGAAAAAATAGCTGGCCAGGTTTTCTTATGGAGGTTGGAAGTTGTTGTCGGACTTTGGCGACCGACTTCAAACAGTCGTCCATATGCTTCACGGTTCCTTCACTATAGCTTGTTGGCGTAAGCGATTCACTCGCTTAATCCTCTGTTTAGCAACTGATAAGGAGTCAAATAACCCGCATGAGGAGCTTCACAGTCGAACGGTAATGTTTTCTCACATATACCTTTCCTTTCATAGTGATAAAGTAGGAAGCTGTCAGTATGGACACAGTTTACTTCACACTATGAAAAAACTATTGCAGATGTCGACCACTTATAGGATGTGTAAAATTTAGCTTTCAGACACATTAATTTCTACAACTAACTGCTTTTGTATATTACAAACGAAATTGTTCAGAACCTGAAGAACAAGAATGTCGATGATAACTATATGGACGGAGACGTCGTCATCTTCCAGATCATTCTGCTCCAGTTGGGGAATTTCCATCGATGACAGGCCGCTTAGAGCGATGCTGAAGTTCTCGAGCAGCATGTTCAGTGGAATTGAAATCTCCAAACGGGATAACAACTAAAATTCGTAGGCTGTTATGTTTGAAAGTTGATGGAAACACTTTTCAAAAAAGTGATGATTCAAATTAAGAAAACACGACCAATTGCGGATATTTCAATTATTTATTTATTTATCGATTTATTTATTTATTTACTTATCTATTTACTTATCTATTATCTATTACTATACTTATCTTATTACTTATTACTTATTTACTTATCTTATCTATTTACTTTATTAATTTATTTGACCCGTCCTCGCGTCTACTGTGCGGATCCGGGCACTTCTCACATCTAATTCGTTTGCTCCTATCCCTCGTCCACGAAGGCCTTCCATGTTTTTACGTGTGGGTTTCGGTTGCTGCTTGAGGATTTTCATTTCATCTTAAACGTCGTAGAATGCTGGTCAAGCAATTCTCCCTAGAGTCTTGGGATAGCCTGGCTGGAACGTTCCCAATTATATTGAAGACAGCGATTTCTTTCCCGGATCACCTTGGTACTAAACTCTCGACCCTGGAGAGATGGGAGGCTTGGTTGGACCGGAGCGGAATCGAACTAGCACCATGCTCGTGTTCGTCCTCTCTAAGCTTGTAGGAACGCAAAAATGTTTCACGCAAGCGATTCAAGACCTAAGGTTAAAAACATCGGATTATCTGTTCGCGATAAGGTGTGCAAAGTATACAGTAATTCCTTTTCATGTTGAAATCCCTGAAATTGGTGCGTCAAATAGCCATTTGCAATGTTTGCAAAACTTGCTCCTCGGGATAGGTGTTACGGAAAAATCATGCCCCTAAATGGTAACTGTACCAAAAAATAAGGTTCCATTTATACTGGTTTTCCTTTCCAGCGAAATAAATGCACCTATAAAATGTTATGTAAGAAGGCCCGGCCAAGAGCTTTCGGTAACAGTGGCTGAAATACCCTCGAACACTCCAATTCACCAGCTGGTTGGCAACCGTTTGTATAACCGCCTATGCATAAAGAACGCAAAACTGCATAAATCGCCCCAACGGTAGAGTGCGTTGAGCTAATCTCTTGTAAAATGTGTGAGGACAAACACATTGGTTAGACAGGTAGACCATTGTGCTTCCGTATAAAAGAACACCCAGTTGGTAAGCTTAAGGCTGAACCAAATACCCCATCGAGCACACATGGCACACGAAGTGATAAAGGAGAAGTTTTTTTTAAAATAGAAGGTACCGTGCTTGCACAGGAATCGAAAACTTCAGCGCGCGAATTTCTCGAAGCATTCTGGATAAATTCTAACTATCCAAAAATGAACCGCAGGAAGGAGAACGTCGTCATCGCGCAGGTTCTCGAGCAATATCTCAGAGTAATATTTTAATGTGAGAAGCACATTACGCTTCCATGTGAGCTCTTTGCAGTTGGTCTCCACGTGAAATACTCAGTGGAAGACTTATAGAAAGCGGTAAATGTGAAGAAGATATTTTGGTTTTAATGCCGTTGAAATTTTGGCTTCGTGACTTTTCCTGTTTTGGTAATGAAGGTGTTTGTGGGAGTAGATTGCAGTCACTTGATCCTTGCAAGCTCTCAAGAAGGCGAAATTAGCTGGAACGTCCACGAAATTCGCCCCTTCCTTCCCCTTCGCGGGAACTTCTTCGCCCGAAAGTGAGGACTTTGAGAATTTTGTACGCAAATTATCCGAAATTTGCTATCGACTTCATTGTTGAGATCTTGCTTTTTATCAAACGTTTGAGGAAATGGAGGCCGTGGCAAAGTCCTTTCTTCTTGTTAAATAAAATAAAAGCTCTCGGCGTTGATCAATCTCTGAGGGATGCGCCATGCATTCGACTTCATTAAGCATCGTCGGAGGTGGTTGAATCCATATCTGGCCTTAACAATGAGTTGCGGTGGCCTACCGATATATCGAGCCAGTGCTGTTAACCACCCAGACAAGTGTGGTACCAATTTCCCGACCCCGGAGGGATAGAGGGCTTGGTGGGCCATGGGCGCAGAGATCAATTCCACGTGTGTGTTGCAGGGCGCCTCCGACCACTGCGTCACACGCGCCTTTCTTCTTGTTGTTCACTCTCAATTCGTGCTTAAACTCTAGCTTTACTGCGATGCTTATCTTGAAGCCCATGTAAACTACATGGGGCTCTACGTAAGTATACTTTAGAAATGGGATCAGACGGTGAGAAACTCGAACCCAGTTCTAATAGAGAGCGAACCCTGTCAGGTAGAGCCATGCCTCCTGATACGGTAAGCTTTGACTTTTCTAGCACATTACGTACCCTTCAGTAACTCCCTTAATTTTCGCTAACTGTGTTTCTATACATTCTTAAAGTCGCGTTATATGATTTGCTCAAGAGATCCTCAAACTTTCTCTGTAGAGTTATTTCAGTGTTAGACCTCACTGAGTTACGAATCAACACTGACCTGCTTGTGAATAAGGAATAAAAGAACAACTTTGTGCTTACTCCCCGAGAAAACAGTAAATTATTTGACCAGTGCCGACGTTAATAGGAAGTTAATATTAGGAATTGCTTCAGTCGCTGAAGCTTAAAACGATCTGAATTCTTTCCTTAGTTCTGCTTTGTAAATTTCATAAATAACCACCAGAAAAATGTCTCAATTTTTTCTGTTCGCTTTCTGCAACTTTACGCCTAGAAGGCAGCCCTAGTCTTCCAAATTAAATTATTACAACACAACCTATACTTACAAAAAACTTATATATGGCATAGTTCACCTAAGATTTAGTGGGAAACAAGTTACGAAATCCATCCGCTTTGGTCGTTATAGGTGTTACGCATCCCGTGCACACCGTAACGCATTTCTACCGTATGTGAATAGGGTAGAAACAGACCAGACGACTACCAAATTCTTCATTTTTCAAGTACTCCCCTTTCCATGTCGCTAACAGGTGCTCAACTATTGAGCAATTTTGATCTTCTATTAGTTAAAAAACATACATGAAGCCACTGTAGTGCATTAAAGAGTTCCACGTAGTCACTCCCACCAAGTCGACAACTTACGAAGTCGAATACCTGCAACTCGAAAATAAATTTCATAGGCGACGACTGGGATTTTGGACGTTAACGTTGACTCAAAGAAATGCTAAGCAAAAAGCGTAGCCCAGGAGGGAAAAGAGTCACCAGGCAGGACATTTTCTACTTGTTTTCCACAGAGTCGTTCACTCACAATAGTGATTGCTATGCGTGAAAGGTAGGTTCGCTTTAAGAGTTTACTTCAAACTCTAAACCTCTAAATCGTGGAGAAAAACTTCGAGAAGTGGTGAAACTGTCAAAGGAACACTGAAGAATAATACAGTAACCAGAAGGGAATTCACTATATATGCATTGTCGTGCACACTCTCTTCACTAGGGCTCATGAAGACAGTCGACATGCTACTCATTCGACCATTCGGTCAATCGAACCGAACTGGTCCATCAAATAAACTGGGTCTTTTGCGAGACAATGACTAGGTTTCTGAGGAAAATGAACTTACCATAGCCGTTTCAAACGGAAGTGGACACAAATCGGGCTCGAATATCTTGCAGAGCAAAATCTTCAGCTCATGTTGTTGTTCTTCAGTGCATTTCTCGTTGATCAACTAAATTAAACTGTTAGAAATAAAAGACGAGCTACTGTCGAATTTCTAAACATTGGTTCCGATTTACCTGAAGCCATTTTGGCATCACACGACTCCACGTCTCTATCGAAATCACGTCGTAAGGCATTAAAGCCAGCAGACTGAACATGTACCAAACTTCTTTCAAACTTTGCTAGATTTTACTAAAATCAACAAAGCTAGTTGTTCTAGAAGTCTCGTGAAACAATTTAAACCCACACCATGTCGAAATAAAAGTAGGATTTCTCAATCTCATTTAGATCCAACGAGAGTTTTTTTTTGCACGAGAAACACAAATTTTTAAAAGGGATATAGCGATGACGGCTGGTCAAAAACGGCATTACATGTATTGCAGGTAATGCCTCAGCTATCTTCAAACGTTTCAAATGTGAAACACAGTCACAAGTAAGCCAAGAATGAGCAAAACCCGGAGCCGCAGTTGGGTTTCGAAACCGCGATTACCCTTATCGGGCTCCTATCCAGTCCACCAGTTCTCATACCTTAGCAACTTCGTGATTATATTTCACACAAAACCCTGCCACGAAAAGACATACGCAGTAGTTAAAAGTCGAACATCATGACTTCGACTGCAACTTTAGCTTAATTGGATCCACTGCCAATTTGTGCTTCTCCGATTATCCCGGTTTCCGCTGAAGTTGATTGTTGACTGCACCGTTAGGATAACAAACTAGCTGAGAGAAAGGTAAAGCAAAGGCCACAATTGTGCAATGGATGGAACATGTGGTACCGGAAAGGGTAGTCGCGATTTCGAAGCTCACCTGGTGTACCAAGTTTTGCTCATATCTCCGCATACTTATGATTGTATTTCAAACAATACCCTGTCATGAAAAAAGAATCCGCAGTAAATAACAGTTAAGAGACTGTGTTTTATTTATAATAGAGTTCATAGCTAACCCTATGATCACTAAGTACTTTGAAGCAGAACAAATATATTGGATTCTTCGTACTCTAGCATTAACACTAATCGACTTGAAAAACCGTGTAATCCATAAGTTATACACTAAATTGAATATAATCGATCATTCCAAATCTTGCAGGAGCTTGCTTAAAGGATCTGTTCAATGTAAACATGATAAAATATGCAAAATTTCAAGTAATGACTTCTCCTTCAGTTTTTATACGACTCGAATAAGACCCCTAATGCTTGTTTGTTTAAACAATAGCCAACAAATAAGCAAACATAGTCGACTTGTGCTCCCACACCGGATCATCTCGTCCGAAACCAAGCGAATTTTATTCGATCTGACCAAAAGGCTAAGATTATAGAGAGTGATGCTAAGATATATGCAAAACTTGGGACCACAGTTGTCTGCGGTGAGGAACGAACGCGCTATTTCCCTTTGCGGGGGCGAACGCATTCACCACCACACCATGCGGGTACTTCGCTTTCGCCTGCCTCTCAGCTAGACTGTAATAGTAATAGGCAGTAGATAGAAAGCTAGCATTGTGATTTTGACTGCAGTCTACTACAGCCTCAGCTAATTGGGCTCACTGCCGATTTGGGCTCCCCAGATCAATCCCATTGAGGGGTAGTTGCTGATGGCATTGATCGGTAGAAAACTAGCACAGAAATAACGTGTTAGACCCCGGAAAGGGTAATAACGTGTTCAATCACTACCGCAGACACCTGCGGTCCGGAGTTTTGCAAATACCTCAGCATCACTGTAGTTGTATCACACGTAATACCCTGTCATGATGAAGAACTGTTATAGGCAGCAGGTAAAAAGCTAGCATTACAGAGATTATTCTTCGTGAATGCTCTTTAAGTTTTCTTGTTGTAATATGTCTCTTATGTTGAGCTTGCTTTGTTCTCAATGCTATTTCTTCCGATCCTTTCCTTTCTCACAAAATTATTTCCTCGTTTCCAAGTAGTCTGTACAAGAACATGGCTGACAAGGATCTCCCGCCACTCTATAATTTCTTTCTGAACAATGATAACTCTTTTTGTTCCCAGCAAGAACGCTGTCTAGCATCACTATCGCTAGTCGATTTGTCAACCTAATCCGATCCACGTCCTGTCACACTTCAACTCACCCATAAATCTTCTTAGCTAGTGATGCATGACATCTGTCCTTCTCTTAGTACTTAAGCACCCTATTATTATTAGTGTTCTCCCTCATAAACACTTATTTGCAGAAGATACTTTATTCCTCCAAACGGTTTACCGCCTCATTGTGCTTGGGAAGTGTTCCTGGGTGTCGGGCTGCGATGTACAGCGGAGGATTCATGGGATTCATCCCCTGGAAGGGTCTCACAAGCTGGGAAGGAGTCCGGCGTTTCCACCAGGAAGCTCCGGTAAGAGTAAACCAATACTAGGATCCATCACCGTCGCGGTACCAAACTAGTTGAGTGGTGGCAGACCTCCCTCTGATCCACAAGGGCTGCTACTGCCTGTTGTGGTGACGACATGGGGCAGGCTTTGGCCTGGCTGATCTCAGGACTCCAGGGAACCGCAATGGCTAAACCAGCAAAACTCTGAAAAATGAGGGCTATTCTGGAGTCCGCACAACCAGTGAGGACGGGCCGTCCAAGTATCCAAGTAAGTAAGTTCTCCCTCATTCTGTATATCATTTTTGCTTGTTGACACGTTATTGCTTCTGATATTTACTGTACTTTCATGAATTTCGCTGCGTCATTATTGCTACATTAACACTGCTTGGTATAATTACTAAATCTTGAGGTTTCGCATAAGTGTATACCTTTTAAAAAAATCCTCCCAGTTGAGGTTCTCATTGCGAAATAACATGCATTTGTCACGTGAAAAGAGAAATGCTTGACACATTGGTGTTAAATTCATAGTTCAATTTCTAAGATCAGTGGGGCTCCTACCGTCCTAATCCTTCTTTTGTCTGTTCGAAATGTTGTCCGCCATCTTCAGTATTCGGTGACAGGGCACTAATAAACACCTCATAGTGAATCCTTATCGCCATGTTGATCCAATCGCATACGAACTGCAAACAATTCTTCGCTTTCGTTGTTGTTATCGTAATTCATTATTGTGTGAGCACTATCATTTGCAAAGTAGTTCACTATTATAAGCGAAATATTATTTGCACTACAATAAAATATTCCAAATGGCCGATAGCACAGTGGTAGTGATGGCCGTCATCATGAGCATGGTGGTAGTTCGATTCCGCTCAGGGCGAACCAAGCCTCTCATCCCTTCGGGGTCGGGAAATTGGTGCCGGACTTGTTTTGGGAAAATCTGCAATCCAATTGGGAACGTTCCAGCCCGGCTATCTCAGGATTAAAGGGATAATTTTTCAACCAGCATTATACGACATTCAAAATGAAATGAAAATCCTCAAACAGCAACCGAAGCCACTTATAAGATTAGAAGATCTTCATGAACAATTGATGCGAGGAAACGAATCGAATATGAGAAGTGCTTGGATCCGCACCGTGTAGAAGTGAAGACGGATCATGTAAAAAGAGTAAAATTCAAAAACAAACCCATAGATTGATGAAGCGGTTTTACGAAACCATATATCACCACAAATACTTACTGGTGGGCTGTGATACTGGCTTAATCTGTATTCCTACTGATAACGAAGCAGTGCATATCTTTGGCGATCTGCGATGCATCGGAAATTTTGTTAAAATCCATAATTTCAACGACTTTACGCATTATTCTCAGACGGTGACAGCTTCTAAGTGGAGTACAACGACCACGTTAAGGGAAACTTCACAGCTCAATCCTTCGATAGACATCTTTTCAGATGATCCGTGGAAATATATGGAAAGATCAAGGAATTTAACATCCAAACAGAGGCGTAATTTCTTAGTATGATGAGTAGACGACAAGACAGAAGAGAAAACTGGCAGTACGAATAGTAAAGAAATGAAAGCGTTCTCCAAGTCGACCAACTACGAGATGAGCAAATGTATTAGCCGCTTTCATCAAAGTGATGCGATCACAGCTGAATAGCATTTCGGAAAAGGAAGATGATTCTCACGAATATTATCATTATAAAGAAAGAGCCGTTGATAACGAAACCCTACAAAGTACTTCTTGAGAAGAGTGTTCAGTCTCAGAGCACTCTTTCATCGGGGATTATCTAAAAGAGATATGCTTTTCACGACTAAGGTTATTCGACAGCATGCAATCGAAAGCGACCCTGCGCAACTACTCATAAATTAACCAAAGGGCAACATCAAAGAAGGAAAACGAGAAAGCCGATTTGGGCGCCCCAGATCAATTCCGCTGACGGGTGATTGTTGTGGCAAAAGATTGATAGAAATAGCCGAGAGACAGGCGAAACAAACGACCCGCATGGTGTGGCTACTTCCCGGAAAGGACAATAGCGCGTTCTTTCCCCACCGCAAGCACCCGCGGTCCAGAGTTTTGCAAATATCTCAGCAACGTTGCAAGTGATCTTTTTTGTCCGCTTTCCTTATCTCTTTTTCCGCCTTCAAATCCACAATTCTAAACGCACACAGGCTTGCTGCTTACCACCTAGCTCCTTTTAATGTTCTCTATGTGATTTTATTTCCACTTTCTCGGAAAACTCTCTTGTGCTTTACCACTCTCCGAAATAGAAGACGTTCTTAGGTATCGAACTACGATGTCTGTTTGATGTCATTCCCCCGAGTCATTTGATTCTCTCAAACTAAGGTGCTCAACATTCAAAATTCAACACTCAACAACAAAGATCGATAGAAATAGCTGAGAGACGTGCGAAACAAAGGACCCGCATGGTGTGGTGGTGAACGCGTTACTACCCGGAAAGGACAATAGTGCGTTCTTTCCCCACCGCAAGCACCTGCGGTCCAGAGTTTTGCAAATATCTCAGAAACGTTGTGGTTGCATCTCGCTTAGTACCCTGCTGCAAAATTATAGTAGGCAGAAAATAAAAAGGTATAACATTGCGAAAACGAGAAAATTAGAAAATATTCCAGCAATTCGTTAGGAACGTTGTTTTATCCCTTGTTCCGTGCTCTAAACTCTTGAGACTCCACGTTAGCACCCGTTCAGTCTCACTGAGACAAAGGATGCTCCTATGAGTCGAATAGCAGCGTGCAGAAGTTCCTCATCCCTTTCCAGAAGAGCATCCATACTTAGAAATCCGAAGTTTTGAAGGTTTTGTCCCGGAAGCACAACTAACAGTATGCCCATTCTAGGAAATGTCGCAGTTCTAGAAGAAATTTAGTTACGAAGCAATAAATTTCTACCCGATCGAACTAGGCCCAAGATTGAGTAAAGTGAGCGTCTAGGAATTTATCCCAGACTTCTGTGGAGTCCATGTAAGAAGAAAGTTACGTCGAGAAGCAAAACACCAGTGAAATGGGATTTTCTTAAATTATATAAAATAAACCAATATTGTGTAAATTTTCTGAAATGCGACTACTGTTGGATTACTAAGAGGACATCTTGGTATAGGGCACACTGGAAAATCAGCACAAATCTTACATTCAGTCAATTTGTTTGTTTAGAACTTTTTTATCGAAGCAACCACCGGTGTCTTAAATAATTTTAAAATATGATCGTAACCATCAGTAAGCTTTCTTGCATTGAAAAATGTGGCCTGATTGAGATAACATACTAGAGATCTCAACACAACCTAAAAGAAAACTCACATCTGTCTTTAACTGTTCCAAGCTGGCACCCATGCTATCATTCGGAAGCAAGGCAGTGGTGGCAAACCATTGAAACACGTTATACATTATATAGGAGATAGATTTCTGAAGAATAAAAAGTGCATTTGCAGTGCCGTGCTGAGGAAAGCTCAAGAATTCTACAACTAATATTGGAGCGCGTAGAGCGTAATGACGAGAGGCGCCCTGCAATAAATGTGCTCGCTGGTTCGATCTGGCGCTCAGGGCTTAACGACTCTTCTATCCCCCAGGGGTTGGCGAATTGGTGCCAGACATTTTTCAGAGGATGGTAGCGCTCATTTGATACATCGACCAGATATGCATTGAATCACCTCCACGATTTTTCATGAATTCGAGTACACAGCGCATTCCTGAAGGTTCGACCAACACGGAGAGCTTTATTCTTTACAGTAAACAATACCGAAATCTCGGGTAGAACGCATTCCGGCTATGCCCAAATGTCTAGGCTCAGAAACAAATTCAATAAAATAACCTAACGGGCGTCCTGCTGGAAAGAGTCACCTTCGAAATATTTAACATGCAGGGTTAAACCTTGGAAAAAGTTTCTCAACAATGATGGCGATGGCTTATTACGATAGTGCATTTAATATGCAGAAATTTTGTTAATTATGAAATATTTTCACAAGGAGGAATCATTCATTTCATTTCGGCGGGAGTAATCATCTTGCAAATTTAGCGCCAGAAAACGTTTTCAATCTGCAGAGCACTCCCCATATGGGAAGTGATTTCAGTAACAGTACCTGGTCAGCATTCTGATTAGGTGGACAGAGGGCAGCCATCATCCATACGCCGAATCGGCTCAACATGCGTCTCTCGTCGGCCATCGTGTCGATCTCTTTGCCCAATGAATGGCCACCTTCGAGTTGTCGCAACCATTTCGGTCGTTTTCCTTCACCTTCTGTTCCTGAATTCCTTTCTTGATGAATTGTTAGCACATCGTTCTATCCAGAAATACTAGGCTAATAAGCAAAAACTATTGCCAGCCATAGGTTAGGGCAGGACATTTTTTATTAATTCGACAAAGTTTCACTCAATCAGCTACTCGTAGGAGAACTAGTTGTGTGTACCTTCGAATTGAGCGGTTTCACGCATAAGTTTCACTATTCCTTCTACCGTATCCCACATTACCGGTTGACCCCAAACGCAACCGGACCCGCGATGAACCAAATGTGGAGTTTCACACTGTGAGTGCAGAACAACAACACATTCCTAAAACTAGGTTCTAGGTTGTTTAGGATGGAAAAGAATTTTAGATTTTGAATGAAACGTTTAAAGTGATGGACTCGGTGAGGGTAGACATTATGTCAATACCCTTTGTATTAAAGCTATTGCGCTATCAATTTATTTTATTGTGCAAAGTAATTAAACTGTTTTTGAATTCTTTAAAATGTTAATATATAAAATATAAAATAAAATAAAATAAAATAAAAACATATAAAATTATAAGTAAAAAATAATAATAAAGTAAAATATAGGTGTATAAAGTTTAAAATACACCTGGCAAAGTCGAATTGGTACAAAATTGTGCGTTCTCGTGCAATCATGTGAGAAGCAGATGCTGACAGCCAGACGTGATTGAGATTGGCAGTCCTAAAATTTTTCGGACCACATTTTTCCGTTCTGCGGTGAAAATTCTCTTTACTTATCACTTTTCATCTACTGTCTACTCTTTCTTTTTCATGGCAGGGTGTTATGTGAAATAAAACCACAATGATGCTCAGATACTTAAAAGCGTAGATTTCATGCTGGATTCAAACCGACGATTATCCTTTCCGAGGGCTCACGTTTTACCCACTATGTGCGTTTGTGCGTCTCTCTCAGCTAGTTTTCTATCTACCAGTGCCAAGTTTTGCGAATATCTCAGCGTCGTTAAGGTTGATTTCGCATGCGCTGGCGTGAAAATGTAGTAGGCAGCAAACGAAAAATTATTGCTGCTGGTTAATTCCATCCCATTGTTCTGGATACGGGTAAAACAATTATGGAGGAGAAGTACACCGAGTTGAAAAAGAAAAAATCAACAAAATGCACCAGATAGTTGAACGGCTATGCCCCTTAATGCTCAAAAGAAAAGGATCAATGCTTCTGGCCGATAGTGCGTGGCCATACGTCGCCCTGTCGACGCCACAGAAGTTGAACGAGCCGTGCTGCGAAACTCTACTTCGTCTACCATACTCGCTGGATCTTTCGGCTACTGACTTCTACTTCTTCAAGCATCTCATCAAGTTCCTGTGCAAGAAATGCCTCGGAAACCAATTCGAAACTAGGAAATGCTTTCTACGTCTTCATTGTCCCCAGAAGTCCACAATTTCATTCAAGTCGTATTCGTTCCTCGTTAGCAAAATGTTTAGATCCAAATGATTTTTACTCCGATTATTTGAAACTGAACTATGCCATCTTAGAAATACAGGTTGAAATCCGCCACTGATTTCCGATTACCAATACCAAACAATTTTCACGTAAACGGTGAAGGTTTCTGAAGTTCGTGAGTTCAACGGAGAAGCTCGCCTAAAGCGTTCGAGGCTCAACGGGTTCGAAATCCGCGAAGAAGGTTTTTGAAAGAGAAGAAGCAAAAATCGACGATTCTTAGCTATGTGAAGAAAAAGTGGCTTATTCTTGATCTGTATGAAATTTTTCCATTGACCTGAATTCCTCGTTTGAATGTGAAATATCTACTGAACAATAAAGACGTTTGTAAACTAAAGCGGCACCGAAAATCGAGTGTTCGCGGAGAAAAATGACCCTTCTTTTATTTTCAAATTCAAATGAAAACGAATGAAAAATGAATATAAAGAAAGCTGAGCCCTGATAATTTCGTTCACTCTTTAAAGATAAAAATAAAACAATGGACTCACATTATGTTAAGATGATCCATAACGTTCAAAAGTTGCGATAAACTTGTCCACTGTTTACAGCTTCTTGTCATCCACTTCTTTTTCAATCTTTGTTTTCAGATCTTACTTGATACTTGGTCCTTGAACGGCCCGTCCCCAATGGTTGTGCGGACCCCAGCATAATCTCCATTTTTTGGAGATTTGCTGGTTAAGCGATTGTGGTTCCCTGGAATCCCGAGGCCAGCCCGGCCAAAGTCACCACCACAGGCAGTCGCAGCCCATTTAAATCAGAGGGAAATTTGCCACCATGCGACTTTCATACCAGGACGGTGGTGGATCCTGATACTGGTTTACTCTTAGCTAGGCTTCCTGAACGAAAAACCGGACTCCTTCTCAGCTTGGGAGACCCTGTCAGGGGATGAATCCCCCGCTGTATATCGCAGCCCCACAGCCAGATACACCTCCCAGTCACGATGAGGCGGTAAACCGATGGTAAGCACATACCAGCGTCGATAATCAACTTCTAGCAAAGCGAAATCGATATTCAAAAAAAGACTGACTTTCTGTTAACCTCGGCATTAATTGATAATTCAATGTTTTTTCTTCAATAAGCAGACACGAGGTTGTTAATATAGAATTTATTAGAATACAATAGCTGACGTTTCGGCGGTTTCGCCTTCTTGAGAGCCGTTTATTTGTTGTAAGTATTTAAGTTAGATGATGGATAGCCGCCTGGACTGGCCCACGCGTTGTTCACGTGGGGTCGTGAGCGAGGCACACGCAGGGGTCAAAATATCATTTTGAAATAGGGCGCCAGGTCGCTTGTCATAGTGAGGCATTCGTCCTTCCGGTTCATCTTTGGATTTTTGAAATTTATCCAAAACGCCTCAAGAGTTTTGAGCGTTGATGTTTTCGATTCCTGCGCTAGGATCCGCACATTCACTTCAAAATCATCGCCGTTGTGCTTTTGTGCCCTATGCGTACCTAGAGGGGTGTTTAAACGGATTTTAGCTTTCCCGTCTAGATGTTCTTTTATGCGGACACAAAGTGGTCTACCCGTTTCCCCGATATATTCCTCGCCGCATGCATTACGTGAGATCAAGTATATTATACCTAAACTCATGCAATCCCCGTCTCTCCCGTTAGGACAGTTCATACAGTTTTCCGAGCTGCACAAACGATCGTAGAGACGGTTTCGAACTAACTGGCGGCGTAGGGTAGTGGGTGGGATGTCAATAATCGTTACATAATTTTCAAGACCACTTTTTCTTAAGCACTTTTTAATGGCGTGACTTAGGATTTATTATCGCCCATGTATTACTCTGTGCGGCTGCTATCCATCAACTAACTGAAATACTTACAACAAATAAATGGCTCTGAAGAAGGCGAAACCGCCGAAACGTCAGCTATTGTATTCTAATAAATTCTATATTAACAACCTCGTGTCTGCTTATTGAAGAAAAAACATTGAATATTCAAAAAAGGTTTCCTTAAAAATTTCATCACCGGCTTCAAATAAAAAAACAATGAATATCCTTAGTACAGAAATCTTTAATGTAGCATTTTTGAGCGTAGTAAAATGCCATAGAAAAAACTCTAAAAAACGGTTATAGTTCCCTAATTCATTCCTCAAGGCAGACAGCTGATCTTCGACAAAATAACAATTATCGCATTAATGAAAGCACTTGCTGACCAAAATTCACCTTATTTTGACAGGTTGCACTACTGGCTTGCATCGGTTGGGTTAGGTGCCGCATTGGTGCTTTTCGTTCCGCCACTACATTATCGGCACATTTCCTACACAGAAACACTGGAGGTGAAGTGTCAGCGATATCAGCACAGATGACTGGATCGAAACACGACTTCACACTGAAAAACAGCCTCTAGAATTTGATCACCAGCACACTGACAGAAGCCTTCAGGCATTAACATAGCAAAGGGTAAAGCGTTCGATGTCAACCAAACTCTCAGGGATGTGCTCCACTAACATTTAGTGCATATTTGCCATAAAGAATGATTTGTTAGCGCCAGCCGATGCAATGAGTCGGTGTTTTTATTCTTCCGGACAATTCTGTTAGTAATTTGTCAAGAAATAATCCCTAGGAATACATGCAGTCCACCTTGTACATTATTTGAAATATCATTAAGCAAGCTTTTCCTTATTATGCTATCGTTCTCCTAAAGAGGTTTTCTCCTCTGACACTGTGATTTCCCACAATAACGAAAATTACCATCTGTAAGGATGGGAATGGATCCACGCGTTTTTTAGCATTTCTCTTCGCATGATATTACGCTCGATGCTTGTTTCCTCTATGCATCAGTTTAATCTTTGTTTTTGAAAGATATTCTGCTAGATTACAACCTGATTTGCATTCTGTTAATTCATCATCGTCAATTTGAATGTTGTCAAAATAACTGAGACCAGAACCACCAGTGTCATTAACATCTTCGTCATCGCTACAACCTTCGCCTTCATCGGTAGAATGTAAAAAAATAAAATGTAGATCGCTCAAATCTACACCAGTCATTGTTCCAATCAAGATTTGAAACTAGTATTTCCCAACTTCTGCAACGATGATGGTACTAGTAAATAGGACGAAATCGTCTTTCTAGTCAAGTTGAAAACCTCAACAATGACAATTTAATGCAAGGCCAAGGATGAGATGATCGGAGTCGTTGTCACGCTCGAGTTCTAATCTGCCCATACTCTTAAGGCTATAAGTTTCTCCGTTTCTGGAAAGCTTCGGCACATTCTTTAAAGTTTCTTCCTTACCGAAGTTGCTAAATTCGAATTCTAAAGTAAGAATTAAAGAAGGGTAGCGCAAGAGTAGTGATGACATTCATCAAGAGTATGGTACTGGTTCGATACCGCATCAAGCTCACTAATCCTCCCATTCCACCGGGGCGGAAAACTTGGTACCAGACTTGTTTGGGAATAGCTCACTCCTAGAAACTCTAGTATGAACGCTACAGCTCGGCTGTCCAAAGACTCAATGGTTGATCGACTCAACCAGCATCCTACGACATTCATAAAGACGAAATCCGCACGCAGCAGCCAAACCTACACAGGGAAGCTCTGAAAGGCTTCGTCGGTGATAAATGAAAGAAACAAATCGAATACGAGAAGTGCTGGGATCCGCACAGTAGATGTGAAGACGGTCGTGTAAAAAAACGATAGAAATTTAGGAGTAATGGCTAGTGATAAGGAGAAACATGAAAAAAACCTTGGTCCCTTCTCGGTGCAGGTAGTCGACTGGCAGGTGATTCGTTGCCATGCTGAAAAGTGAATCTCGTCCGAGTACGGTGACCATTTTACGTTGTGCTTATTTATTCCACTTTTTCAGCACTAAGCCAGATATTGCATAAAACATAAAAGAATGATAAGCCTTAAAAAAACGATGAAAGCACACTTACCGTGTACTTTGTACTGAATAATTTTCCTATGAATAATACGTGGATTGGGAAAAGGCCAGTAGTGAAGGAGCAGATTGGCGGCTGCTACGCGAGACTCTGACGTACCTTTCGCAATTACCTGAATTCCATCCAAAAGCAGTTTAAGCAAATTTTCAGTTGCCTATCCACTATTTTCTCTGTACGTGCAATCATATATAAAGGAAATTAATTATTATCGGTACAAGTAGCAGAATGGTTGGAGGTGTCAAACAGCACAAATGCGGCCCTTGCCAAGACCCTAGATCCTGCACCCAGTGCAAACCAAGCTATCCATAGCAATGGGAACGGTGGATTGGTCCCAAACTTGTCTGGTCAGAAAGAGTATCGGCTTGATGAATCGGTTGGCCTCCGTAAGTCACTGTATATATCAAATACACAGCGCATTGGAGTGTATGGCTCATCCTTAAGGGAGGGATGAAAGGTGAACCCTTCACCTTTTATTTAGATTTACAATTACTGATTATCTATTCTACTAGGGTGTTCTGATTGCTTAGCTCTGAGGATGATTTGCTCAGGTGACGAGCCAACAGCAATAGTGCGGTTGTGTTGCCATGCATAAAAACTCTAGGAATGCATTTACGTGGTTTTCCCTTCACCGTGCTCAAGAAGCAAAGAAGTGATGAATAAACAGCGGATAGAACACACATAATATTTGTAAAAGAAAAAAGAAGTTAACAGGTCTGCCACCAGTTCTCCAACTCTCTGTGAACGGAAAGGTTGGTCAACCTGGGATGAAATCGAATTGGTGACCGATCTAATGTGTACTGCAAAGCGCCCTTTGCCATTGGTCACATAAGCACATAACAGGTGTATAAAGAATGATCTAGCACTGTCACGCTTAGACACGCACATTTTGGAATTATCCGCAAGTCCTATGTGAATTGCTGGCAAAGCTGTATTGTTTCTTAGTTATCGGAATACAGGGTGAAAGGGAACCGATAGCATGACCATACCAGAATAGAGCCATGCTGATCGATCACCATCTCTGTGACATCAGGCTCAAGTATTACGACGTAACCAACAATTTTCATTTCGCGTCATATTGTTTGATTGGAAGAAATTATCAGACAGAATGACGACTAAAGCCACCAACAGCAGTACATTCCCATTTTAAACTTCACAAAACCTCTAAGTTCTCATCACCTTACTCAATTGACCAAATTGAATCCCAAGCAGGAATGATAAAATATTAGGTTGAAAATTAACGGATAGGTCTTCTCGTGATAACAGTAGAACGGAGAAGTTAAGCCGATGAAATTTTCACGGAATTTGACCAATAATGAGAAAAGATCGCTTTATAACTGAATTTTGAAAAACGTGATGTTATCGAAGACGACGAATGGAACGAACGCCATCGAGTACGTCTGTCAACATCACTTGAATTATGCAGGGTTACATCGCGTTCTTCAAGATGAGGAGCACTCTCTGACTTCCTTTATTGATCCCATGATACTTTCTGCCTTGAAACGTACTCCTCCTCATTATACATTATTTAAACAAGACGTTTTTTTACTTTCTCCCTGTTACAATTTTCACAGCAAGATATTATTCGAAACCAACCACAACTATGCTGAGATATTCGCAAAGCTTGGACCCCGGGTCAGACCGAACCACAATTCCCCTTTCCGAAGACCCGCTCTGATTTCAATTGCAGTCTCAGCTTCAATGCCTTCAATGACTGGGTTCAATACCAATGTGAGCTCTCCAGACCAATTCCGCTGACGGGTGATCATTCACAGTGGTTAGAAAACTAGCTGAAAGAAATACAAAGCAAGTGCCTCCGTGGCGCAATGTGTAATCCGTGTAATGCGCGAGCCCCAGAAAGGAAAATCATGGTTCGAACCGGCCCGGGTCCAAGTTTTGCGAATATCTCAGCAGCGAGAAACCTCCCAACGGTTTGCAGCCTCATCGTGGCTAGATGTTCCTGAGTGTCGAGCTGCGATATACAACGTAAGGAAAGTGGGATCCATCACCCTGCAAGGTTTCCCAAGCTAAGGAGTTCGGTGCTTCTATCAGGAAGCTGAGAGTAAAGCAATACCAGAACCCACCACCGTGCTGGTATCAAACTAGTCGTATGGATCCCTCTCTGATCCACAAGGGCGGCGATTGCCTGATGTGGTGACGGCCTGAGGCAGACTTTGACCTGGCAAACTTTGCGATTCCAGGGAACCACAATGGCTGAACCAACAAAATTCCAAAAAATGGAGGTTATGCTGGTGGCGCCCGCACAACCAATGAGGATAGGTCGTCCAAGTATCCAAGTATACAAGTAATTGCGACCAAATTTGGGCCATCCAGTATCCATACTACAGAGCGAAGTATGAGGAAAGTCGGTGACATAGCTCTTGAAACGAAGACAATTTCCGTTCATGTAATACTGTTGCAAATGATGCAATGCCGCAAAGGATAAGAGGCAAAGCTCGTGGCGGTGAACAATCTCTGAACGATGAGCCATGCATTTCAGTTCGTTAAGTATCGTTAGAGGTGATTGAATGCATATATGGTCTATAGTACGGGTTACGGTGGCCTACTGGTGTATCAACTCAGCATTTTTACGAGCACAAACAAGTTTGTTTCCGATTTGACAGCCCCACATGAAATGGCTTAACGAGTTTAGTGAATATTACAGGACACCACTAGTCAATACCCATGTAATGTCATAGATGGGAAAAGTTGTTGGATGAAGACCATTGAGGTTTCGTATTTAATTCTAAAAAATTCGAACGGATGAGCAACCGACAAAATGACGCCATGTTCCTATTCTTCTGGAATGAGCAAAAAGATGAATTATGACAAGCGTCATTTGCAACATCGAACTGCTTCAGTACCATGTAATGGGGATAAATGACGATGCGGTACTGTTGTTATACACATTGTTTGAAAGAAGTTATTTCTTTAAGTGAAACCTTTGTAAGTGGGCATAATGCTTTCTGGTAATTACGCATAATGGAGAGTAGGGATAGCTATGTGGGGCATAGAATTTGTGTTAGCGCTTCACAATAGGTTTTCTATGCGATTACAATTACGTTCATATATTTATTATTACATAACCCGGCACACGGTGCGGATTCCAGTACTTCTTGAACACCCACCACCCGTCGAGATCTTCGAACTTTTTGGGTGTGGGTTAGGCTGATCTTTGAAGAGTCAAATCGTCGTCACGAATGCCCCTGAATCTTAGTAGGGACGATTCCTCATAGAATCCTAGGATAGCCCGGATAGAGCGATCCCATTTAGATTGAAAGGAGTGAACTGCTCCCAAAACGCGTGATTGTAGTTTCGATACCCCTGACGAATGATAAGCCTAGTGGAGCCGAGCCTGTTAGAACAAACGCCTGGGTTGGTTGCTCCGTCCGCATAAAGGACGTGAACACTACCACTGCGCTAACCGTTCTCTATGTCCTTACAAATTTTCGTAAATTGTCGGAAACACTTGTTTAAAAACCAAGATTAAGAAAACAACTGCTCTCATCTATTCTTCTTCATTTTTCGAGTTTTTCAGGATCAAGGCGTTTTACTTTAACAAGTTATAAATTCGAGTTGATCACGAAAACTACAAGAAATATAAAAACAGATGACGGTAGGAAACCATGGACAATATGCCCTCCTCACCCAAGAGGGGCCGCAGAGATCCTTGTCTCTGTTCTTTTTTTTCTTTTATTAAAGAAAGCTGCATAGAAAACAAATTTTAGCGCTTCGATTATTTTTCACAATAATTTTTGCCCACGAACCTATTAATTAATCAGTTTTCATTACCTTTTAGGAAAACAAAAGCGCTTGTGCTCAGTGGTCTGAGTCGTCCTCCAACACACACGTGGGATAGATCCACGTGCCCAGGGCCCACTAAGCCTTCCATTCCTCCGGGGTCTAAAAATTGGTACCAGACTTGTCTGGGAGGATAGCAGCACTGATACATCGGTAGGCCCCCGCAACTCATTGTAAAGGCCAGATATGCTTTCAATCACCTCCAAACGATGCTTAATGAAGTTGAATGCGTGGTGCGCCCCTAAGAAATTGATCAACGCCGAGAGCTTTGTCCTTTTTATATTTTCCAGGAAAACGTTAAATTTCTTTTTCAACAGGCGTCACTGATCCATTAAGGTCTCTTGCTAGTAAGCGAATTACGACTCTATGCAGTAACAGCTCATTGTGTTTATAATGAATTTAAACAAAATATGCTAACACAACAATTTCAACTGAGTATAACCAGCATGGAATAACATCCAACGAATTTCCACCATCTGAGTCAGAAGCTATTGTGATGAGGTTGAACTTAATTTAGCAACTATTTCCACAAAATTATAAGCATAAATACCGATAAAACCCTCTTAAACATCAACATGGCCAGAACGAAGGGCATTTCCTCAAGTCGTCCATGATTTAACCAAAATTTAAGGTTAGTGCTTTAGTCTGAAGTTATGAAAATGATCAGCTATCAATATATCAGCCAACGTGTATTTTCAAAGCGACACCTTCACACCCTGAATAAGAGCGAGAGGTATCAAAATGTTAACCACAATGAAAAAAATGTTGTATATGGATTGCTTCATCATTCTATAAGAAAATGGAAAGCCCAAGTTTATGGTTCAAAAACACGTTAGCATAAGCTAGATCATAAGAACTGTCTGGAATGCAGTCACTCTACAACGGTATTAAAGAGGGCCTGGAACAAGTACCTGCACGAGATCTTCATAGATATTCGGACTGTTATTCATTGCACTTTCCATGATCCACGTATGAAGACCTGAAATGCAAGAATCTTTCGTAGTGACGAGGATAACAAGAACTTTTCTAGCATTTTTTTCTCTCTTTCACATTTCTGCTTCACATCGAAACGTAGTTTTATTTCTCTTTATTAAATAACTTTTTTAATTTCCACAATTCAGTGCAGCTTCGCAAAATTACGACCACCTCCAAGCGATAGAGTGCCTTCTCTGTCGATAAACAAAACCATAGACCAGATCCATTTCTGTCCTTAACTACTTTTCACTAAACCTTTTTAAAATCATTCCGGGTTCTTATAAACTGATCTTCTTAAGCTGACGCGTGGTTGGCACAGGTCTTCGTTGCCGTTTTTTATGTTATTTATCGAAGGCCGACGTTTCGGCGACTTCGCCTTCCTCAGAGCCTAGACGTATTTTATATCAGAATATTTTTTATTATTCGGTGAAAAAGAAAGGATAAAGTATTAATGAAGATTAAACTTCCAAATAGACGCCATATTGAACAGAAAGGCCACTCATCGTGATGTTACGTGCGGAACTGTCCCACACGTAGTTCACGTGGAGTCGCGAGCAAGACACGCCCCGGGGTCAAAATATCATTTTGAAATAGAGCGCCAGGTCACGCGTGATTGTGAGGCATTCGTCTTTCCTGTTCATCTTTGGATTTTTGAAATTTATTCAAAACGTCTCGAAAGTATTTTGCGTCGATATTTTCGATTCATGCACTAGGATTCGCACAATCACTATTGGTGGCTATTGGGCTTTCGTGTTCTGTGTGTACACAGAGAAGCAGTTTGTCGAATTTTAGCTTTTCCATCTAGGAGTTCTTTTGTGCGGACACAAAGTGGTCTACCCGTTTCACCAATATATTCCTGACCGCATGTGTTACATGCGATCAAGTATATTATACCTGAACTCATGCAATCCTCGTCTCTCCCATTAGGACAGATCGTAGTTTTCTCAGCTACACAAACGATCATAGAGACGGTTGCGAAGTAACTAACGGTGTAGGGTATTCGGTGGGATGTCAACAATTGTTACGTAATTTTCAAGACCAAAACCACTTCTTCTTAAGCACCTCTTAATGGTGTAACTTACTTCATTCGATATGACGAGTAGCTTAAAAGG